ATGTTGGGACCCATTTTTTGTAAGAACTAAATTAATATCAGATTCTGCCAATAAAAGGGCTCTAAAACAATTCATATGTAAATATTTTGCATATTTAATGCAAAATCTAATTTTTCTGCTTTAGTGCTGCAACAAGGTTTTATTAATAATAAATTATTATACCTTTTGTTTTACTACAGCATCGGTAAGCTTCCTGTGCACAGATTATTAAGGATGCTTGTTTCAGCTGTGAGATTAGACGATAGGATCAATGAAAAAATAAGTTGTCACACACTCCATGTAAACTTTCAGAGAATCCACAAATAGTGGCTTTCAAATGGTTTTGTTACTTTTTGCAAGTTTAGAAAAGAAGCAGATGAGACAGCATGTCTGATAATTTAGTTTTTCATCTGATAATATTAGAACATGTCAGTAATGTCTGAGGGGCTTTTATAAACACCATATAACTAACACTACTGGAGAGGGTGAATTACACAGAGGCTTCTGGGGAGCCCAGTTATGGGGTGGGGGTGGGGGGGGGGGCATTTTGCCTTGGCCCCCAAAATGTCTTGAAACGGCCCTGGGTGTGTGACTGAGTTTTGAAGGTGATCTGAATTGTATCAGATGTATAAATATGACATGTGTATAACTTATAGTTTTTTCTGGTAAAAACTTGTAGTGGAGATAAATCTACCTACATTTTACTTTTCAACACTTTGTTTTGTTTTCTTGTTTTTATTTAACTATTTTCCTGTCCTGTCTGTCTCTCATCTTCCTGCATCTCCTCATAATTCTCCAGAAAATCTGTTGCCTGGATTCTTACCTTTTCACCTCATCAGTTACTTTTGAGCAGATCAAAGGGATCTCCTGACCGCAAAGCGCAGAGCACGTTTTCGATGCTGCGTGAGGTGACATCACCACAGCACAGGTGATGAGCTCCGCAGTAGCGCGCTTCAGGCAAATAAGATAGAAAATAGAGAACATGAGCAGACAAGAACAATCGTGTGCTAATTATAGTTTTTTGGTTGCGTCTTGAGAATAGACCATGCGCTGGAAGCAGCTGCCTGGATCGCTGCGCAACAATGCGGAACCGGTTCGCAGCAGCGCAAGTCTGCAGGCTCTCCCTCGCGCTGATCTGCCGGTACCGGCTCTCCCTCGCGCTGATCTGCCGGTACCGGCTCTCCCTCGCGCTGATCTGCCGGTACCGGCTCTCCCTCGCGCTGATCTGGCGGTACCGGCTCTCCCTCGCGCTGATCTGGCGGTACCGGCTCTCCCTCGCGCTGATCTGCCGGCTCTCCCTCGCGCTGATCTGCGGCTCTCCCTCGCGCTGATCTGCGGCTCTCCCTCGCGCTGATCTAACTTGCTCTGGTCTGCGCTTTTGGAAGAGTTGTGCGACACAACGAATCGATGACGCAATTCGTTGCCAACACTTTTAGTAATCGATTTTCATCGAATTTATCGATTCGTTGTTGCAGCCCTACTGATTATCATAAATAATAATTATTAACCAAAGAATAATAATTCATTTCAGTAATTAAATACATTTATAATGAACCTTGATGAATATTTATGAACCTTGTAATAGACAGTGAAAAGAGTTTATGAAAAACGATTCTTTAAAATCTTGAAGTGTCCTTCATCTTGCGGATGGAACAGCAGCCAGATACAGGCAGTCAGATTAAAGATGGTTTACAGCAGACTTCGCGTCTCCTGTGATGGATAATCTGTAGATAGAAGTACAGCCAGGACAGCTTGACCCAGCTGAGGATGTGTGACCTTTGGGTCACAAATGAGGCCATTCATGTCGCTCCATTAGTGTAGATTTTAGTTTTACTTTAACATTTACTGACAGAAAATCTGTTCTTTGGTTTTTATTTCTACCATTACATTGTAGCTCTTGTGTGTTTAGGTCTGAACACCATTTGTAACCTGTGCATGATGTACACATTTGTTCTAGGGCTGTCGCGGTTGAGGAATTCCCCCTGCGGTGATTCAGGGTGGCTTAATATTGCGGTGTGCGATATTATTGCAGCACTTTTTTATTGCAGTACTATCTAAACATAATGTTTACACATTTAAAAAAGGTTAAAAATTGCCGTGCCTTCTTTAATAACACTTTACTGAATGCAGATCAAAGGGCAGTAACAACGCAGATCGCAGTAACGCTTGTTTCTCCGACAGTCGGAGTCCGACTGAACTTAAAAACAACAAAATTCAGGAGGTTAAACTTTTAAATGCAAATTTGGCTGCAGCATCTAACAAATAAGAAACAAGTCCCCATTTTGTTTAGTTGTTTAAAATCAAGCATAAAAAATTACATGTACCGGGCGCGCGCGCGCGCGCGCGCCGGGGGGCGGGCGCACTATCATTTCACTTTCACACACACGAATGACGGTGATTTATAGCTCGGTCACGTCCTTGTTACCTACAAGGAAAACCAGCATGTTAACTACGGTTTGAGAGAGGATCTGAGAGGGGTGGCAACATTTGCAGCAACACTGAAAAGCCTCTCGGATGGTGCGCTCGTTGACTTGCGTGCGACTCTGGCGAGCAAAGGGAATCTCCCGTTTGTTGCTCCACCGTGTCACGGGGGTTTTCTTTAGGGTGGATGCATTCCTCCTGCAGGTAGCGAGTGAGCTCCAGCTCGGCTCAAACTCTCTTTGGGACGGCTGCAGAAGCAGTGCTTGTCCGGGACTTCAGCAGGTCTCCGAGCGTTTGTTTATTTATTTATTTGCCGCTGGTGGCAGCTCTGTCTTGGCCAAGGACTCTGGCTGCGCAGCAGCTGACGTACTGAAAACCAAAGCGCTCCCACAGGAGCGAAGTAACGTTTCGTTTTGATACCAGTGCAGCCATCCTTCTCAACATGCATCATTGAGTTGAACCAAGTTCAGTAATCGCGGTGGCGCATGATGCAGCGCGGTGGGCTTCTTCATATCGCGATATTTCATTTTTGCGGTTACCGCGACAGCCCTAATTTGTTCCTCCAACAACAAACGGATTGCTACAAATTGACCATTTAATGCTATAGCCTGCACTTCAGAAAACTGCAGTAAAGGATTCATCCAAAAGGGTCATTGGAAGCCAGAGGGATGATGTATTTTTGGCTGACCCACATGCTTTAGCTAGCCAGCTGGACCCAGGGGGTGCCATGCTGACAAACCTGACATGATGCTACGATACGAATGCCCTCTGGAGACTTGCCCTTCACATACACACTTAACTGAAAGTCACACACGCTGAAGAGGCATGCAGAAAATCTAGGCACCTTCACACACATACACAAAAATGGAGTTCAGTAAAAAAGTTAAGGCTATTTATAAAACAAACCACCTCGCCACCCCCAGTAGAAAAGAAATGGATCCCTCTAATTTCATAACAACAAGGCCGAGACTATGCTTGGAGATGAATTAAACAGTTTTTTAAATTTTATATTTTTTTAACCCTCCCACTCTCTTCATGGGTGACCCCGCCAGGAAAGTTGACCATTGAGCAGGGTTGATGGTTTATCCCTTGAGGTCCACGTGGCAGGGGTGAGGTGATGCTCACTCCTCACCCCTGAAGACAGTGGGAGGGTTAAAAGACTTTTGTGCTGTTGTGAGTTGTTTGAAGTTCCTTTTGAACGTTTTGGTGGATGTGTGAGGGTTGTTGGTGATTCAGCTTGCTGCTGGTTGATAGATGTCTGTTAACTGTGCTGTGGTCTAGAAGCGCTTCTGGTTCCCTGCAGATACACATGGAGAGATGTGGGTTTAGACAATAGAGGGATTATTAAAAGGATGCTGCATTGGTCTTTAAGGAGTTCAGCTCACAAACCAAACAGAAGGCCCATCAGTCCGCCGTGGGAGTGACACTCTGGTGACCCTCAGGACAAATTTCATTTGATCCATCTTGGCAGGACAGCAGTTGTGTATCCTAAACAGAAATGTGTTTATTATAAATGCATTCTGATCCGTGTGCATTTTAGGGTGTTTTTGTGGCTAAGATGTCTGTTTTTGGGTCTTTACCCACGTGTTTCCTCACATTTTCACTTCATCAGCACTTACTCCTTCGTGCTGATGAAACAACTTCAGATTTTTGTTGCAGATTTGTCAGCTGCAGCGCTTTAACCTTTAGTAATTAGACCCCCCGCTTCGTTGGGGTGATACCTGAATTCACGTGGCATTTGGCTGCACTCTGAGGTGAAATAATGGACCAGTCAGCTGAAGAAAACACAGCCAGTTGTACGCTGTAATCATGTGACTGCCGTGTTGCTCCGGGGACCCTATGACAGCATGCAGCGTTGCATTTGGCCTCTGGCCAGGACACAAACACACTCAGACACACACCACAAACTTTGTTATATCATTCCCCCACCCCTGCCCCACCTCCACCCCTGTGTTTGATGCAGAATGGGCCCAGAGGAACCTACGCTCTGACAATAAAAGATTCTGTTTCTTGAGTCGGCTGAAGCCGTCCAGTTGAACAGATTCTTTGGCAGGCAGTGAGAGGCGGTGGCCAACGGTGTTTCTGATCACTCTTCAGAGATGGAAATCCTCCAGCCCTTGTCTCTCTCACAGGAAACGTTGCCCTGCTGCCAGCCTAACCAAGCATCACCGGATGCAGTTTTGATAATGGATGCTTTATTAATGACCCGGGTCATCTGTGCAGCTTTAATCAGAGGAAATGTAATAAAAGGCCAACGACCGCCATAGCACACAGACTGGTATTACTTCCTCCTCACTACCCCTGGGATAAACATATGTTGTAATGTTTTGTGCCAATAACCTCCAGCAGCATTCATCTGAGTGCACTAATCCACAAAGCTGCCTGGACTTTCATCATTTGTGTTCCTCTTTGGTGGCAGAAGTTAGTGTCATCACGACGTCTTACTACATCAAAGATCGATGTTGTAAAGTCCACTTGAAAACCATTTTAGTCTTTTGTATTACAGGGCATCCCATAATCCTGTCTCGTGCTAGCCCGAGTGTGTTTGGTCTTTTTCTTGTTATATTTAGGACATTTTTTCTTTCCTCTGATTTCCCCAGAGCTCCCTCCAGATCACTTTTGACAGCAGCCTCCAGCTCACCGCTGCTTCTGCGATAGATAGTGTGACCTGCACAGACCAGTCACCAAACAGGACCGTAAGAAAACTAATTCATTTAACCTCTTGTCAGGAGATTAAACAGCAGCTAAGATGATCTGTTTCTTTTATTCTCATTTAAAATACTTTAGAATCAAATAGTTTTTTTAAATTATAATTACTTATTTGTATTTGTCGTTGAGACGCTGACCTGATGATGGTTGTCTTGTTTCTGCAGGTGTTGTTATGTAACTGTTGGGTAGACACGCTGACGTTCCCTGTGACGGTCACCCAGCAGTCACCTGCTGCTGTTTCCATGGACACCTACCACATCACTACTGCACCTATGATGGCAGAGGTACCGACGCCCGACACTTTGGTCTTATTAACATGTAAAAATGTCCGATTGTCGTTGTCTCTCTCAGCCGTGTGATGATGCCAGATTTTTGTGTAAGACTGGGGGACTGTTTATCTGATACTGCTGATTTGCAGTGTGGAGTGCCTCAGGGATCCGTCCTGGGCCCCTCCTCCTTTCCCTATAGCTGCTGCTGCTGGGTGACTTGTTTCGTTGGCACAACGTCAAGTTTCACCTGTATGCGGATGTTTGTCAGATCTATCTACCTACTAGTATAACTCAAGTTCTTTTAAACCACTCTTGGACTGCTTGGAGGAGGTCAAATTATGGATGGCTCAGAATTTTCTGTTCTTCATCCAGAAAAAACTGAGACTATCCTTTTCGGCTCGAAAAACACACATGGATGTGCCCAAGGGATTAACTCTCCTCTATTAGCACTTTTTGAGAAGGCTGTGGTCACCAATCTGGGGGTGAAGTTGGATGTGGAGCTCAGACTGGACAGCCAGGTGAATGGAACAATCAGATCCGCTACTTCCATCTCAGGAGAATAGCTAGGATTAAGCAGTTTCTTTCACGCAAACATCTGGAAACTGTCATTCACGCCTTCATTACCACCAGACTGGACTACTGTAACTCGCTTTATGCAGGCATCAAGCAGGCCTCCATAGTGAAACTACAGAAGGTCCAAAATGTGGCAGCCAGGTTACTAACTGGTACCAGGAGATCTGAACACATCACGCCTGTCTTGACATCCCTACACTGGCTTCCAGTTTCCTTTAGAATTTCATTTAACGTGCTGGTGTTTGTTTTTAAATGTTTAAATGAGTTGGCTCCACGATATCTATCGGATCTGATCCATCCTTATGTTCCCTCAAGGAACCTTCGGTCAGCACAGCAAGGACTGTTGGTTGTTCCCAAACACAGACTGTAATCTCGGGGCGGGGCGGGGGGGGGGGGGGGGGGGGGGGGGGGGGGTGTTGTGCTTTCTTCATACTGGGGCCGAGGCTCTGGAATGAGCTACCTACATGTGTCAAACAGGCCACCACGCTCGGCAATTTAAGAGCCGTCTGAAAACACACTTTCATTCTTTGGCTTTTACTCAAGAGGAACCTCATTAACGGGTAGCTTTGCACTTTTTCCTCCCCCACCTAGATTTTATCTACATGTTTTTGTTGGTTTTTAAATGGTTTTATATGTTTTTATTTATGTTCATTTCTGTTGTGCAGCGCTTTGTTTGGTCCTTGGGCCATGTGAAGGCGCTATATAAATAAAGTTTAGTAGTAGTAGTAGTAGTAGTCAGATGTTTAATTTTTTCTGAAATTGCAGATGTTTAAGTGGGTTGTACCCATACTGTGTCTCCATCAGGTGGAGGTGCTCCTCAAGGAGGTGGAGGACGAGGGTCTGCTGATATCTTGGACTCTGTCCAAGCAGCCGTCCTTCACCCTGACGGTGTCCCCGTGTAAGCTGCAGAGGCAGGTGAGAACAGCTGATGTTGACTGATCTGTTCTGTCTGCAATCAGTCCAAGTGTCCTTTCTGAAACTGCTCAGTCTTTTTGAAAGCGTGCAGAAATCCAGCTCACATGCAAACCGTTGTGTTCTTCTGCTCATACTCTCTTAAAGTCTCTGACAACCCTTAATGAAGAATGTGAGTCAGTCTTCAGCCCATTTAACCTATCGTGAGTCCGAGGACATGCGGATCATAATGTTACACACACGTGCATCCCTCAGCTGTCAGAGGCAACAAGAGAAAAAAAGTAGAATTAAGCATCCGATTTATTTTCAAACATTCTGGGATTCAAACATTAATTAGAACACAACGGTGTGAAATAATCGTTTTGTAGTTCCATATGCTCAGTTTGGTGCATCACCAGATAGCAACCAGCTGCTGTTCTGTTCTTGTCAGGGTGCTGAGGCAGAGGCAGACCTCGAAACGATCAAAGGAATGATAGAAGACACCCTCTTCAGCACTCAGCCAGCCATGGTGCTAAACCTCAAGACTTCTGCTTCTGTCAGTTTGGTGAGGAATGTTTGCACTTCTAGTGTTTAAGGGCTGGATGCCGCTGAGTGTGGTAAAAGAAGAAGTGGCTTAAACAGATAAAACTGAGATCTCTGTCATCATCTCCCCCAGTCTCCTGTGGACCACCTCTCAGTGGGAGTGAACGCCACTTCCCACAGCGTCTTGGTGAGACGCCTCCTCCTCCGGCAGCTCAGGGTGACCTTAAGTAAAGGTCAGATGTTCTCCCTCAGCATCAGATCATTTCCTCAGATCCGGGGTCTCGTTGACTTTAGTGTCGTTCTCAGGTCAGTGGTCCAGATCAGGAGAGCTTTGCTGCATCCTCACCCTGGACCAACCTTCTGCAGAAAGGAAAACCTGCTTCCTGCCGGTGTGCACCAACACCAACACTGTCCTAGAATGGAGTGAAGAGATGACACTGTAAGGGTGACCACATGACTTTAAAGTGGCAGAATAAAGGTTTTCAGTCCGATGAGACACACAATGTGAACAGGTCTGATTATTTCAAAAAGATCCGATTAAACGATTTACAGTCAGTGGGTCAAATCTGCTGAAAACACACTCATACACAGCAGTAATCATAATGAATGTATTCATCAGTGTTTTTCTTTTTGACTGCCACATATGCATGAATGCATGTTGCTCAACTGTTTTTTTAGACCTACTCACTGAGCTTTCACTTTTCCTGACATGCTTGTTGTCTGTATTTCCAGGGAGCTGAACCCTGAAACCACAGAGCTCAGAATAAGGCTCGTGGAGCGGAGCGGCACAAGAGAACGTAAGACCTGGCCCAGTACCAATCCGCTGCTGTCTACTAACCTGATCAGCAACATCATTTAGATTGCTTAAGCAAAATCACCATGCCTGAAATGCACTGCTGGCAGACCCACTGTAATGGTCTTTGGTGTCAGCTGCTCCCTAAACGGCCTTTAGAAATATGGTCAAAGTGCACAGTGGCAGCAGTGTGTGGAAATGTGTTGAGCTGGAATTTACTTGCTTGTTTTTGATCAGATTTTTGCTTTTATGCTGAATTCTGACAGAGTTTCTTCCGGGCCACGCATCCATCGCTTTGAACCTTCAAAACAAAATCCCCACAGGCCAGCATGTTGTGTTCATAAACCCTGGTCATGGATCAGCACCAGATGCCACCATCACAGCTGAGGTGAGAAGCTACATGACTTACAACTCTGGAACTTGAGAAAGTGTTCTGAGCCATTCCTAAGCTGTGAATCACTTCACTACAGGACTGTAAACAAAATAACTGGAATTTAAAATGACACCCAGCTGTTTTCAGCTTCTCCGTCCTGCTGGGGGAAATTTCAACGGCCATAAACAACCCTGTAGCTAGTGCTAGCAACACTAACATGAGCCACGAAGTAAAAGGATCCACACTGTTGGACAAAAAGTATTAATACTTACAAGTCTAGCAGCAACAAAGGCAGGTCACCATCAGTCTGTGATTTCACAGCCTACTTTAGCTCCGTCGTAGGCCGTGCCAATGTTCACTCGGGTTTAGCTCTTTGTCTCAAAGTCATAATTCTGTGACTTTTACTTCGGGGCTCCGCCATGATGCAGACAAAAAAGCAAACATCTTTTTTTCTAATTGTGTTTTTTTTTTATTGACAGTCGGCAAAGTGATAAAGCTAACTGCTAGCCTTTAAATTAGCTACCGGCACAGAACATAGCTAACAGCCATTATGCAGGTCAAGAGCACCCCCTAGGGCACCTGCCCACCAAACTGTTAAGTGTTGTTTCTGGTCAACAGGGGGCGGCAGAGTGCTGTCCCATGTGAAGTTAGTTAAATCACTAAACCCCACTTTTAAATGAATTGGTTAATGTGTTAAAAACTTCTTAATGTCGTCAATAGAAACATTAAACAGTTGTATTACATTAGTTTTTTCTTTAGAAAAACATAACTATTCCATCTGTGAAGAACCACATTGTTTGCTGCTCTCACTCTACCAGTTGCTGTATCTTGAAACCGAGGAGCTTCGCACTTCCCACGATGCTTTGCCAATCCGCTCCTCGCTCACCCCCACAAAGAAAGTAGACGTGGATCGCACCGTCATGCCGGATGGAACCATCGTCACCACGGTTACCACGGTCCAGTCCCGAGTTAAACTCGACCACAGCCCAGGTGAATAAATCTACACGATTAGGTATTTTATTTTGGCGGGGTGATACAAAGGTAACACTTTACAATAAGGTTTCCTTTATTAACATTAATTAGTGCATTATTGAGCTTTAATAAACTATTTAATTAAGTATTAACAACTGCTTAATAATAATAATGTTAATATTATATAATGCATTACTAAGCAGACACCCATGGCCCTTTGTTCTAACCTTAAGGACACTTAATAGTTAACAATAATGCTTAATAATCAGGGGTGCACATAATATTTTTGGGTTGGTACTCAGGGGAGAACCTATGGTTGTTGCTTGGTCCTCACATTTTTAAATGCACTTAATAATTAACCCAACTCACAATAGAAACAAAACAGAGTAACGCGTTGATGATGCAACATATTTTAATTTTGACTAAAAACATTAAGTACAACAGGTACATATTAAAAACTTCTCATTTTAAAATAACATGACTGAATTGTCTGAATGTAGAACACTAAGTGCAAACAGCTGCTTTTGTGATAACAAAAATCAAATAAAATTAATTTTAAAGCATTTAACAAAATTCCTATTTCAGAGCACTGAAGTTTTTTAAATGGCATAAATGCCGTTTTTATTTCTACAGACTCTCATCATCCTCATCATCCTCCTCCTCACTATCCCGACTGGCTTCCTCCAGTTCACACACAGCAGAGGACAACTTTCTGATGTTGTCTGCTGTTAGTACAGGTGCTGGCCAGTAAATTAGAATATCATCAAAAGGTTGAAAATATTTCAGTAATTCCATTCAAAACGTGAAACTTGTACATTATATTCATGCAATGCACACAGACCAATGTATTTCCAATGTTCATTACATTTAAATTTGATATTTATAGGTGACAACCAATGAAAACATCAAATCTGGTATCTCAGAAAATTAGAATATTCTAAAGGCCAATGAAAAAATGTTTGTTTCTCTAATGTTGGCCAACTGAAAAGAATGAACATGAAAAGAATGTGCATGTATAGCACTCAATACTTAGTCGGGGCTCCTTTTGCCTCAATAACTGCAGTAATGCGGCGTGGCATGGACTCGATCAGTCTGTGGCACTGCTCAGGTGTTATGAGAGCCCAGGTTGCTCTGATAGTCGTCTTCAGCTCCTCTGCATTGTTGGGTCTAGCGTATTGCATCCTCCGCTTCACAATACCCCATAGATTTTCTATGGGGTTAAGGTCAGGCGAGTTTGCTGGCCAATCAAGGACAGGGATACCATGGTCCTTGAACCAGGTGCTGGTGGTTTTGGCACTGTGTGCAGGTGCCAAGTCCTGTTGAAAGGTGAAGTCTGCATCCCCATAAAGTTGGTCAGCAGCAGGAAGCATGAAGTGCTCTAAAACTTCCTGGTAGACGGCTGCATTGACCCTGGACCTCAGGAAACAGAGTGGGCCAACACCGGCAGATGACATGGCACCCCACACCATCACTGACGGTGGAAACTTTACACTGGACCTCATGCAACGTGGATTCTGTGCTTCTCCGCTCTTCCTCCAGACTCTGGGTCCTTGATTTCCAAAGGAAATGCAGAACTTGCTTTCATCAGAAAACATAACTTTGGACCACTCAGCATCAGTCCAGTCCTTTTTGTCCTTGGCCCAGGCGAGACGCTTCTTGCGCTGTTTCTTGTTCAAGAGTGGCTTGACACACGGAATGCGACACCTGAATCCCATGTCTTTCATGAGTCTCCTCGTGGTGGTTCTTGAAGCGCTGACTCCAGCTGCAGTCCACTCTTTGTGGATCTCCCCCACATTTTTGAATGGGTTTGTCGTCACAATTCTCTGCAGGGTGCGGTTATCCCTAGAGCTTGTACACTTTTTTCTACCACATTTTTTCCGTCCCTTCGCCTGTCTGTTAATGTGCTTGGACACAGAGCTCTGCGAACAGCCAGCTTCTTTAGCAATCACCTTTTGTGTCTTGCCCTCCTTGTGCAAGGTGTCAATGATTGTCTTTTGGACAGCTGTTAAGTCAGAAGTCTTCCCCATGATTGTGGTGCCTTCAAAACAAGACTAAGGGACCTTTTAAAGGCCTTTGCAGGTGTTTTGAGTAAATCAGCTGATTAGAGTGGCAGCAGGTGTCTTCTATATTCAGCCTTTTCAGAATATTCTAATTTTTTGAGATACCAAATTTGGAGTTTTCATTAGTTGTCACTTATGAATATCAAATTTAAATGTAATGAACATTGGAAATACATTGGTCTGTGTGCATTGCATGAATATAATGTACAAGTTTCACGTTTTGAATGGAATTACTGAAATATTTTCAACCTTTTGATGATATTCTAATTTACTGGCCAGCACCTGTATGTTTATCAAACGCTGAATGATTGAAGTTTTCAGTGCCTATGTAAAAGGCGCCGTTTTTGTCTGCCAGGGTGGGATTTTCACGGCATAATCTGCATCACGTCTCTGTGCGTTCATTGTTTGTTTGAAGCCAGCCGACCTCCTGCAGCCACTTCTCCGCGAATACTCTTTTCTTTTGCGGTTCCGACTCAGTCTGACGTTTTTTTGGAGGCGGAGGAACACCAAAATAATTACTTAAAGGACATTTTTAAAATGCTCCAGAAATGTCTTTCTTCCTCCACAAAATCTTTGGTGCGCAAATGCGTGCTGCCGCTTTTTTTCAAGTGCACATTGTTTATTTTGACAGCGCATGCGCACCTGCGGACCACTTGTGTACACACCTGTTAATAATGCACTAAGTAACGTTAATAAAAGGACCCTTGTTGTATTAAGTGTTAGAGTGATGTCAAATGTTCATGCCGTTTCAGGTGACTCGCCCTTGTCTTCTTCATCCAAAGTGGAGGTGAATGAAAGCAAAGCCACCGTGGTGTCTGATGACCGGGACGGCAGCGGCAGCCCCAACCCGAGTAGTGAGTCCAGACTAAAAACCCGACATTGTTTCACAAAACAGATGCAAAGCAGGATAAGCGGCGAGCAGCCGTGTAACCTGAGTGGAGAGGAAAGCACTATTAGGCACCCTTAATTCCCTCTGAGCGAGTGCTGCTCTACCCAAACCCACAGAATACAAAAAAACAATAAAATATGCTTTTTTTAAAGGTTGTGAAGTGTCAGAAAGCTCAGCTTGATCGTGTTTTTGAGCAACTGGATCGAACAAGCAGCCCTGATTTCCATATTTGTGTTTTTGCTGCACAGAGAGCAGTCGGCTCTCTAACGGCCTGGATCCCGTCGCGGAGACGGCCATTCGGCAGCTGACAGAGTCGGCGTCCAAAACAGCAAGGAAGACCCCAACAAAACGGAGCACACTAATCATATCCGGAGTGTCAAAGGTCAGAGGACGCTGTTCCTTACAGAATTACACATGAAACATCTCTACCTTTTAGCGATGAGCCGTTATGATTCTTTGTAGCCCTTTGAGATGTTGGAAGTGAAGTCTGATAAGGATATAAAATACTCACATGGACGCAGGCGAGAGGAGTGTGATCTAAATTTAGTCTCGCATCACAGCGCCCTACTACACTAGTAGAACGAGTCTACTGACCTGATTGTTGGAAGAAAATTTGTAGAAACCCTGTGTGTCTGTGTGTGTGTGTGAAGTTGGTGCCCTTGACACAGAAGCCACTGGAAGCGTCTGCTTTTATTAGTAAAACTAAAGAAACTGATTATCATGAGAGCAGACCTTAAACAAGCTTCCTGTCTCCATACATAATAAATGATTTGATGTTTGTTGCATATCAGGTTCCACTCACTGAGGATCACTGTGCGTTGTCAAGCGGCTACGCAGCATCCATGGATGCAGCCATGCACGGCAACCATTACAGGGGAGGTCATCACCAGGACCCGGATGAAACCACTCCCTCTGAGGTGTCGGAGCGTCCGTCTGTGGACGATGTAGAGTCTGATACTGGTTCTGCTGGTGCCTTGGAAACCCGCAGCCTGAAGGATCATAAAGGTAATAATGTTTGCTCATTGTTGACATAGAGCAGGAATTAAAAACTCCATGCAGATGTTTGCTAAATGTATTAATTTAAATAGCTTTATTTTGCATATTGTTTTTTGTCAATAAAGCATAATTTCAAAGTGTCACTACAAACTGAACAGCGTTACATAACTTCTAAGGATCACTGTGCTGATGCTGCCCCCTGGTGGTTTTCAGTAGGCAAAATGATTGCTTTACATTGGATAAATGGTGATGTCATAAAATCAGTAGATAAAGTGATGTACCTGCTTTCTGCAGTGGGCTTTCTCCAGAGCGGCTCGAAGCTTTTGTTTCGTAGAAAGCATCGAGAGAAGGAGCCTTGCCTCAGCCAGTCCCACGAGGACATCTCCAACATTGGCAACAACTTCGCTGCTCCAGCTGCAAGCAGCATCCGTAAAAAGTCTGGCAGCTTCTCGCGGCGTCTCATCAAACGCTTCTCCTTACGCTCGTCTGGCAAGTCAAAAGGCAAAGCTGCTTCTACGAACGGAGGAGCAAGCTCAGTGGAGAACTGATCGATATCACGAGGGTCGTTGTAGCTCAAAAGGAGCTGCTGGAATCGCTGAACACACACTGTGGGCTGTCACCCACACTTCTAAGGATGCCGCTGGGAGGGATCCTGTCTAGAAACAAGGAATTGCACCTTCAACACAGAAGTCCTGTGACCGAAATGCTGGATCTCAAATGTGATGATGAACTCTTTTTGTTTGTTTGAGGAGACAAAATCGTGCTGCTTGGTGAGAAGGAAGTCACTACGATGAAACACTCCTAACACACACTAGAGGGTTTGATCAGAATCGGTGGTGGATATACTCAGACTAATGATGTAAATGCACTTTGGACTGATGCTTTATTTGTTTTTTTTACAGCACATGTAAAATTTTGTTGGGTGTAAAATGATAATTTATTATTCTGTGTGATTTATAAACCATATTATTTATTTCATCAACCCAAAACAAGTCATCCTCGCTGCATTGCACTGTAAAATAGTGACGTTGGCATTCTTTTCTATGCAAATTTAATTTTGAAGACCTTTAAGTAAGTTAATATAACTTTCTCTGTTAAAATGTGTTGTTTATTTGTGATTACTTAAAAATTACTTTTAAAATTCATGTTTAATCGCATAAAAAGCAGAGAAGATGGTGTATTTATCGTAATTTTGTGTGATAATTATTTTCTGTGGAATATCATAACTATGGTTTGCTTTTGATAGTTCAGTCAGCAGGCATCTCGTGCTGGGCAATAAGCTTAATCTGTAAAAAATAAAAAATAAAAATAAAGAAAGACGATCAACTTTAAAAATAAACATGTCGGTAAACGATTTACAATGATCAGGTATAGCTGAGTTGCAGCAGCTCAGTGCTTCACTAAGAAAACATATTTTACAACAAACAGTCACACATTTGATTAATTTATATTACACAAACAGCAAAATGTTGTATTTAGGAGAATTATTGTCATAAACATATTTAATTCAATCCACTTGGACTGTCAGGGTTCAGCTCAGGCAAATAGAACCAAGTTTAAGAGTTTTTTATACGTGGAACTGCTCTCAGGGCTGGAAAAAAATATTAACAACTAGACACACAAAATGATAATTGCTGCAGCAATCAGAACCAATTGTAAAACTGTACATATGATTTTTTTTCTCTTATAAAAACCTCATTTGAAATAACTGCAATAATTTTGGGACCTCATAACAACCAAAATCAATTATTCAATTACTGTGTTTTTAAATAAATATTTAATCTGATTAAATATTATCAAATGGACATGCCAAACATTAAGCCAGTACTGTATGGACAATACTGTCAAACTAATTAAAAATGCAGAACAGATCAAAACCACTCTCCTGCCTGAAAGCACACATACATATACATGTAGTGATATGTGAATGTAATTTGAAAAAGTGGCTGTAAAATTCAAGATGTGAGGCCCCAGTTATATTTTGAAAATGTAATTTATTGCAAATAAATTATTTTTCAACCCTAATGTTGATTGTGCACTTAGTTAATATGGTCTTGTTTTTGTAAAAGGTATATATTTTTACCAGTAAAATGGTTATTTGCTGAGCTGCCTAGGATTTAAATTAGCTTCGTCTCAGTGGGGGAGGATGGTGGAATTTTCCATGTCTTGCTGGCCCTCCCTCACACAGTTTGTGCAGTGTAAGCTTACTTCAAGCACATTTTGCGCATTTTAATAAATTGTCCTCATGTATAATTGTGATACATGTGTCACCACATTTCGATCTTGGTCAAAAACCCTGACAACATTATTCAATACTTTACTGTATCAATACTCATTAAATCGCTTGAAATGTTCACTTTTCGTTCGGTAACGCGCCAAAACGTTTAAAGCTGGAGGGAAGACCGTCTATTGGTCTTCCTTCTGACACGTGACCCGCGTGAAACTGGGTGAACAAATAAACAACCAATTACCTTTGTCTATTGGTCAGACTCCTCGATGATTGGTGTAGAGCCAGAGCAGCCAAACCAATAGTTACTGGCTTCCTGGAACGTTTGATCTCCTAAAGCCAAACAAATGAGAGCTTCTCTCTCTAGCATCCAATAGTAGTTTGGGGCGGGACTAACGTGGAGGCTTATATATGGCTCGGCGAGCCTTTTTTCTTTCTACTTTGCGATTTTCTGCATTGAAATCATATTCGTGGAAGAGAACTTCAACAATGTCTGGAAGAGGTAAAACCGGTGCTAAGGCCCGCGCCAAGGCGAAGACCCGCAGCTCCCGCGCCGGTCTGCAGTTCCCTGTGGGCCGTGTTCACCGTCTCCTCCGCAAGGGAAACTATGCTGAGAGAGTGGGCGCCGGAGCTCCTGTTTACCTGGCTGCGGTCCTCGAGTATCTCACCGCCGAGATCCTGGAGCTGGCTGGCAACGCCGCTCGGGACAACAAGAAGACCCGAATCATCCCTCGCCACCTTCAGCTGGCTGTCCGTAACGACGAGGAGCTGAACAAACTGCTCGGTGGCGTGACCATCGCTCAGGGAGGCGTGTTGCCTAACATCCAGGCCGTCCTCCTGCCCAAGAAGGCCGGCCAGGCAGCACCCAGCTCCGGCAAGGCGGGAAAGAAGGCGTCCTCTCAGTCTCAGGAGTATTAGCTTCACGGCTAACAACAATGAACCCAAAGGCCCTTTTAAGGGCCAACCACCGACCGAAAGGGCAACTTTTCTAGTTTATCAATGTCGCTCAAAGCATATTTTGTTTGGGTTATTGAAGGCTTGTGTTAAGGTAATTTATTTCAGGCTAGATCCTTTGCTAAGAAACAAGATTAGGCTAAATTTCCCCAGTTAGCCTGAAATGTCACTTGAAAATCTTCATCCTGAGTTTTTTTCATCCTTGAATGTTATTTAAAGTAGCAACTCTTCTGCAACTGACCAGATCCAATGCTAGCTGCACACACTGGCAACTAAACATTTGTTATGCATTGCACTCAGGTTCTCAGGGCTGCTGTATGTTTTCATCATGTGAAACGCCTGTTCACAACAAAACGGTTTCATTAAAAGTTCTGCAAGACAACATCTGTCACCTGGAAACGTGTTTGTGTGGTGGTGAAGTCTCAAATGAAATGTACTAACGGCTGTCTATTCAAGCAGCTCCAGGTGTTTCCTTATTGCACATGGAGAAAAACACGCGAGCAGATAGTGTTAACGTTCATGGCTTCCTCTGGTTTCTTTTACACGTTTTTCAGTTCTTGTCCCTGTACCACTGACTCAACTTACTGGACTGAGGGGTGATGAGCAGTCCGATAAAAACTAACTTCAGAATCCCTGCAGAAAAAATAATAGTACTTGTAAAGTAGTAAATTTGTATAGCCCTTTTAGCCCCCCCACCCCACCCCAAGGTCCCCCCACAGTCATTCACCCATGCACGCACATTCACGCTGGTGGTGATGGAGATCCGGTGTAGCTACAGCTGCCCTAGGGAACACTGGCAGAGGCGAGGCCTGTTGTACACTGGTTCCTCCGACCACCACCAGACAAGGTGGGTTAGTCGTCATTGCCCGTGGACACAACAGCAGCATTCTCTGACAGCAAGGGGCAAACCTACAACCTTCTGATTACTGGACATCCCACTCTACCTCCTGAGCTGCTGCTGCGTGTCCAAATCATCACTTTCAAACATTAAAAGAAAAATCTGGAAGCTGTGTATGAAGACATGAGGAGTGTTATGTTTGCTGAGGTGAAGGTGGGGATGTTGTTCACTGGTTTTACCACCAGAGGTTGACTGCTTCCTGTGAGATCTGCACGTGCTTCATTCTTCCCCATGTCTTCTTCCATACTCTTACTCCACATGAAAAGTCTACGACAGATGTGTGAAAGCTTCATCGTGTCCACACAGCACATCTGACAGCAATAGTTTATACGTAGGTGTCCCAACAGATGTGGTTAATTCAGTTTACCTGAATTCATAAACCTTTCAGCCGGAGGGTCTGGTCCAGATTTCATTTTTGGTGATGGTGTTTGACGATGAATAACAGCAAAATCTGAGACATTTCCATCTGCTTTGGCTGTTTTATTGATGGCAAAAGCAGCAAACTGAACCAATTACCCGGGCCTTGACAACGTGTTCAACACCAACATCCGGCCTCAGAAAGCCAGATGGTTAACCCAGACCTTAAATTCACCGCTCTGCCTGCTTTCAGCTGTTTGTGGCTAAAGGGTTCGTGTGGAAGCAGCATCCAGGACAAACCAAATTTAGTCAAACTTACATTCTGTAAAATGTGCTTCTGGGGAAATCTAGAGATCTAGTGTTTTTTAGTGATAAACACAGCTGTGTTTCGACTTAAACGGGGAAAGGAATGAAAAGTGGGAAGAGAAGGAGGAAAAAAGCTGTGGAGAGGGTTGGACCTGGCAGGGCGATGCACCAACACATTCACTTTGAAAGCAACTCTACAGGCGTGCAGAGGGAACGTTACGATTCCATCCCGGAGACAACCGGGGGAATTTTCTCTTGAAGTTTTGGGAGCGTGCCTTGCCTTGTGTTTTTAATTTTGGAGGGAATCCATCCATGGAAAAGAAAATGTTCTTTGCCAGCTTTGGTAATTAGAAACAGAGCATTTGTGTGTGCTGTGGAGAGATACAACAGAAACATTGTTTATGCAGATCTAACATGACCCAGTTCTGATTTTCTCCCAGCGGACTTACTTTGATACGGGAGCAGGTGGAAGTCACCTGGTCAGATTTGTGAAGGATGCTTTTCTTTTTGCGTGAGAGCGATGGCTGCCTGTGGAGCTTAGGCGTCTAGCAATGTGATTTGGTGTTTGCCTGGAGGGAGTGTGAGTTGCGCATGAACCAGGGTGAGTGTGTTTTTAACTTTCTAAAGAAGAGAAACACATTCTTGTGTTACCTGTGGCTAGATGTGACAGAGGGATGAGTGGGCTCAACGGAAGATGCTGAATCTTTTCATCTTTGAGTTATTCGGAAATCAGTTACTATCTTCTGGGCTTCTCTGCTTAGGCTACTGCCCCCGCAACCCCACTCCGGACAAGCAGTTGAAAACGGATGGATGGATGCTACTATCCTTTCTCCTACTAAAAGATCTCAGCTTTGTGTGTATGTTTAAATTGGCATCAGTTCTTTAGACTGGTCGGTGTTTGTCCAACAGGCTGGATTTGAGAGGAAGTGCTGACTGAGAGCTGTTAAGTGAATAGGTGCCACCTAATCTGGTTCTCATCAGCCTCAAGACAGCCTGAATGTGACTTATCTTCACTCAGTGATGAGTAATTGTTCCCCTTGTCCTTCCACCTGTCTGCTGTTATCTCCAGCCATCCTGCAGGAACCTGGGGGTCTCAGCGTCTCTGTTCAACTGAGAAGAAGTGCAGGTAGAAGAAGAAGAAGAAAATATCATTTCTATAGCGCCTCTCAAGATAAAAATCACGAGGCGCTTCACAAAAACAAAAAATGTAAAAATATAAAAAAGAATTTAGAAAATGGTTTAAAATATATTTAAAATGAGCAAAAAATAGACAATTGTGATTAAAAACAAAATGTTAAGGAAGAGAGAGAGTGAATGGGAAAGAGGGAAATCAGTGGATCCTGAGGAAGGTGGAATAGGTGGGGAGAGCAGAATAACGAGAGAGTGGTGAAGAAGGTCATACAAAACCAGCCTGAACAGGTGAGTCTTCAGCTGCCTTTTAAAGGAGACCACTGAGTCCACTGATCTCAGGCTCAGAGGGAGAGAGTTCCAGAGTCTGGGGGCCACCGCAGCAAATGATCTGTCACCTTTGGTCTTTAGCCTGGTGCTGCACAACCAGTAGGCTTTGATCACTGGACCTCAGGGACCTGCTGGGGGTGTAGAGACTAAGAAGATCACCAATGTAAGATGGTGCTTGTCCATGTAAGGCCCTATAGACTAGAACCAGGATCTTGAAATGAACCCTGAAGTTGACTGGCAGCCAGTGAAGCTGGAGGAGAAGCGGGGTGATGTGGGTGTGTTTGGAGGACTTGGTCAGAAGCCGAGCACAGGCATTCTGAACCACCTGTAGACGGTTCAGGGAGGTTCTGCTCAGACACGTGAAAAGAGAGTTACAGTAGTCTAAGCGTGAGGAGATGAAGGTGTGGATAACTGTCTCAAGTTCAGAGCGGGACAGAATGGGACTCAGCTTAGCAAAGTTCCTGAGATGGAAGAAGGAAGAGCCAACAAGAGAACTGACATGAGAATCCAGGGTGAGAGCTGGGTCAAAGGTCACACCAAGATTCCCGACGGAAGGTTTGGTGTGAGAAGCAAGCTGACCAAGAGAGTCTCTGACTTTGGGAACCAGCTTGTCTAGGGCACAGATGAGGATCTCAGTCTTATCTTCATTCAGCTGAAGAAAGCTCCCAGCCATCCAGGTTTTAATAGAGTCTAAACAGGTGTGTAACAGCTGCAGCTTAGACATCTCATGGGGCTTAAAGGAGATGTACAGTTGGATGTCATCTGCATAAAGATGGTAGGAGATTCCTTTGAAGGAGCTCAGGATGTGCTGAAGAGGAAGCAGATAGAGGAGGAAGAGCAGAGGCCCCAGCACAGAACCTTGTGCGACACCATGGGTACGGGAGGTAGGTGGTGGAGGACCTAAACTTGGAGACAGCCACAGAAAAGGAGCACTCAGAAAGATAAGAGGAGAACCACTCCAGAGCAGTTCCTGATAGGCCCACCCAGTCTCTCAGGTACCACAAAATGTTCGATCAGAGATTTCTTACCTACTGTGGGTTCTTTTCGAGTCACCATTTGTGAGCGTGCACCATTAAAGCTGTCAACCACAGAGCGCACCGTTGCAAAAACTCCACAAATGTTGGAAGTTTGCAATAATTTAATAATTAAATCTGTCTTTGTCGTTCATTTCTTAGAGCTATAGTGATTGTTCACTGATTAAATGTTTTTTTTTCTATCAATGCAAATGGAACTAAAACTGTTAAAATCTCCAACTGGACTGGGGTTTTTCATGTAAAGAATAAAAACAAAGGTTCAAGCTCTCAGGGAAAGGCAACAGGGGTGTGGGTTAATTAGCTACTAGACTAACCAGCTAATTAAACAATATTTACTGAAGAAGGGATGGAAACTAAATGTGATTCTCCAGAAAAACCAAGTAAAACAGAAAAACAGGAAGCGACGAGCCAAACATCAGGGCAGTAATCACAAGGGACTGTAACTGTAGCTGTGAGGTCACAATGTTGAAGTAAACATTCATTTGAAAACACACAAATTTAGAGCGAATAAAAGTGATGCTGCATTCACTGACAACCAGAATTTCAGAACTTCAAAGATTTAAAAGGGCTTCAACATTCAAAATCAGCTTTTACGTTCCTCTGTTCTAACATTTCTGATTTTATTTTGGGGTGGATCGCCACGGCGACTAATCTGGAACTAAGACCAGCTTTTAAAGTGGAGTAATTAAATTTCTGCTTTCAGCTGTAACCTCCACATCATCACTACAGACGCCTGACTCACTCCAGACTTTACAAGTCTGCAGCCCCTCTGGTTTCTTAGCTGCCTCTGTTTGTTTGTTATTAGCGAGTCATCATCGTCATCATTTCCTCCATCTCCTCTCTGAGCCCCCTAGCATGGGAAAAGCCTTCAGAGATCAATAGTGGAGCTTTTCTCCCACTCTCTGTTCGTCTGTGAGCCAAACGTTGTTCCTGTGGGACATGTGAAGAACTCACACGTGTTCCATCGCTTCCTGTGGAATATCTCTGCTGATGCATGAAGAGGAGAGGCTCTATGATGTTCCTCTGCACTCATTTATTCATACAATGTGTCCTAAAGAGGAAAACCCTCTTTTGCACTTTGTTACATCAGTGGTCCAAAGCTCAGAGGAGGAGGTCAGAGGACATGAGGTCTATTCCTTCATGAATCAGACTGTCTGGTGGAGATATTCTGACCTGTCAGACATTGCAAGAAACACCAATACAGACAGAAAACCAACAAAAATGGCATCTGAGAATGTTTTGGACAGTGCGGTGCCCCCCCCCCTTCGCTGTGTGAAACTCTGGTGGGATGTAATTCTGCACCGGGATGGGGAGGAGATCAGAGCTGGGAGCAGGGAAAGACCAGAGAAACTGAGCGAGTGAACGAGAGGGCAAAACAGCAAGGAGCAGGAGAATTATGTGGACACTGATCTGTGAATTCATTTTCTTCAAATATGGACTCACCTGTTTTCCAGACACTGCAACAGTAACGAGATGGTAAGAGCAGCATGTGTGTTAGAAAATCAGAAGACAGGATTAGGAAATGTTTGTGAGAACTGCTCTAGTTTTACGCCACCTCAGCAAAACAATCCCACTTTTACTTTAATGCATTTTTTAAAATGTAAACTTCTGTGTCTTCTTGCTGTTCTTGTTGACTCCCAGCGTGTTTTAAAAGTAGCAGCCCAGACTGTGGAGCTGGCAGTATCTATTTTCAGAGGCTCATGGCATCTCTGAAGGGCATAGCTGCCTCCGTAATGACAGGTTACAGTGCAAGGCCCTGCATTTGGAAGCATTAAAACTGCTCTCTGGCCTGGGTGTGTACATTTAAATCACTGAGGTTTGTGGGAGCAAATGTGCATGTGTGTGTGTGTGTGAGTCAGGCAGACACATTACCCTGCCCATTCTCCGGTCCTCTGTCTGCGAGCGCGTCTCAAACAGGGCCGGCGCTGACAGGCAGTGGGCTGACAGCGGAGGCGTCAAGGCTCCAGTGTCAGGGGGAACAGACGGAACGGTCTGTTCTCTGTGTCACCGGCTCCTCTTGGGCTCACACACTAAACACGATTGTAAGACATGTGGTTTCACCCGCTGGCCTCGTCTGGAGTGACATCAGACGCCAGCTGAACGCCCTTTTGTCTCTGAACTAAACTTAGATCTGAGAAGAAGGGGGAGGGTTTTTGGCTAGTTGTGCAAGAATTCTGATTGATTCGTGATGACAACATGACAGTACAAATAAATCACTTATTTGTTTTTGTTGCATCACTTATTTATCACTAATGAGATGGCAGCGTTTACTCTAGGGTGCTGGAAAGGGAGCTTTAACCAGTTGTTGAATCACAGATTCGGGAAGAGTAGTGTAGCGTTTGAGTCGTGGAACGATGAACTAGTTCTTCACTCATGCCATGTTGCTGAGGGGACGGCGGGAGCTTGAACCTTTGATCCACATGAGTTTTGTGGATCAGCAGAAGGTGAGATCAAGGAGAAGAGAGTACCTGATTTTGGAAATATCACCTTCATTTTTTTGCAGATGATGCAGTTTTGTTGTTGTCTTCAAGCCATGACCTTCAACACGGAATGGGAGGGTTTGCAGCTGATTAGGAAACAGTTTGCATGACTGTCTGCTCCTCTGAACCTGAGGTTTGGTTCTCAACTGAAAAAAATGGTGAACCTTTAGCCCTGAGCGTGATGTCTTGTACTTAGATGAAAGTCCTCAGTTCATTGGGTGTTTACCTGAGACTCTCATCTATGGTCACGAGATCTGGATCATTGTTCCATTGGTCAATTTTTTGGGCATTAGCATAGCTCCTGGTCATCTTCGTCTATATTCTATATATTCTAGATGAAGACATACATTTACAATAACAGGATGTGCCTTTCTCTAGGAAATGACAGTGCCAGATATCTTCAGCCCTGATGGCAGACAAGATTTACAGTCCATGTTTAATATTTGTGAGACAAAAACAGACTCTAGATAACAGACAGTTGTATCTGATCCCTGGGGATACATATAGATGACATCGATGGTGAAAGACAGAAACGCGTTGTGGCATCTGGTCTGCTTGTGTGATTGTGCCGGGCATGGCTGCTGTTTTTGTCCTGTCTGATGAGCAGACAGCTGAATCTAATCTTCTGCATCTGTCTGCGCTCAAAGGTCTGTGGAGGAGTCTCAGTGACTCACCGCAGTCAGAGGAAGCGCCGATCTGACCCCTGGTGTTTCAAAAGCACCTGCAGAGCCAGTTCACACCCTCTGCAAGATGTTAAACATATAATTATCTTATTTTGTTCTCCTGAATGTAAAGTTTTACGACTGGGGCTTGAATCAATGTTGCTTTTGTCCAGCGTCGTGGAGAAACAATTACTCTGTATAGTGGTTTGGTCACATGGGTGCATAACTAGGGCAGCAGGGTTTCTAAGGAAAGCTCTGTTCCCATTGTAGTATGGCAGTATTCCCAACGCTCCCATTCATGACCTGGTGCTGTGTGTGTGTGTGTGTGTGTGTGTGTGTGTGTGTGTGTGTGTGTGCGTGCTTCAGGATCCACATGTGTCAGACTCCTCTGACTGTTCTGCCAACATGGAGCGACTGAGGAGTAAAGTGGAGCAGGAGCGTCAAACACACCAGGTCTTACAGGTGAGTTGAGCGACCACACGGATGGGACAGCTGGGAGGTGGATGTTTTCATCATCCGTCATAAGTCTGCCGATCGACGCTGATCTAAGCAACGAGACTTTTACTACGTTTTTAAATGTTCATTTATGAATTTAGTTCCTTTTTCATTCAAATTTTCACTTGAAAATCTTTACTTTTTAAATCAAATAAGCATGAAGATCATTGGAGCAGCAAAAAACTGTTGATTTTACAACATTTTCTGGTGTGGTGAATTAAAAATAATGACATTTTTTTGTTTAACCAATACCCAACTGCATGCTTCCTAGTTGTAGTTCTTATTTATATGTTAAAAGGGCAAAAAACAAAGATATAATTGTGGGTCTTTATCCATCCATCTGTTATACCCACTTCTGCCGGGGGGGATTGGTGCCCTGGTGCCTACAGCTGTCTCAGGGCAATTTGGCAGGGTACACCCTGGAGAGGTTGCCGGACCTTCACAGCCTATGGGTCTTTTATCTTTCGTGGTCAGTGATTGTAATATCTTTAATCAAAATGTGAAAATGGAAGGAAATACAGATTTATCAGTGGTTTTACATCAGAAACGTTCAGCTGAGAGTTTGTTTATTTAAAAACACTCAAATCATTTTGTGAACGTGTGAAACAACTTCATCGTTTAAGGCAAATGGCCTGTATTTGATACAGCACCTTCTAGAGTCCTGAAACCCCCCAAGGCGCTTTACAACATAATCAGTCATTCACCCATTGCCCTGGGGCACGCTGACAGAGGCAAGTCTGCTGTGCACAGGCGCCACCGGTCCCTCCAAACACCACCAGTAGGCAAGGTGGGTTAAGTGTCTTGCCCAACGACACAACGACAGTGACAGACTGAGCAGGGCTTGTACCTGCAGCCTTCAGATTACAGGGCGAGCACTTAACTCCTGTGCCACTGTCGCTACTGATAATTTCTCTGGTTGTTTTGTGCTGACAGAACACCCCTTTGGACCTGATTGAAACAGGAAAGTCCTTGAAGGTCCAGGCAGAGCGTCCCCACCTGGTGAGTTTGGGAAGCGGACGTCTGAGCACAGCCATCACGCTGCTACCGCTGCAGGAAGGTGAGGAGCTGTTTGTGTGTTTGAACAATAAGCTACAACTAGTAGGGGTTGAGGAACTGACATGTACCTTCTGAAGGTCTTGTTGGTAGTCAGACTGAAACACAGCTGCAGCTGCAGCTGCTGGTGCCCAGTGTCCTCCTGTGGGATACTCCCAGTCAGAGCAGGGATAGGGTGTGATGATGGTGCTTGTGCTGCAAACAACATGTGGTGTGTTACTGCTCATCACTGTATGCTGCTCTTTCTGGAATATAACTGATAACTGAAGATGTGGATTTCTGTATATAAGTTTTAATCATTACTGTAGGATTAACTACACACTAGAATCAACACTGTTTGCTATCAGTTGTTACATTACTGTTACCTGTAGAGTCTTACCTCCTCAGGATTCATGAGCTCATATGGCTCCTCAAAAATAAAGTATTTCAGCCATCTTTAAACAGCTCCAATAATCTACATTTCACAGCAATGACCTTTTAGAGCTTTATTGGGTCTTTTACGTGAAATTATCTGGTTTCAAGCATTAATGTCCCTGCCAACAGCCAACAGCTAACGGCTGTAGCCTGCAAAGACATCCTGTTTATTTAAATATCTTGTCTGGCCACAACCCATAGATAGAGCTCAGTCGTAGTTGTCTTCCAAACTGTCTCCGCACACAAATGGCCAATGCTTGGACCAATCAGAGCAACGGACAACAGGACTTTTCATTACTACAGAAATCAGTCAGTGGGGCAGTCCACCATACACCGTTGAAGAAGAAGCAAAAACAAACTTCAAACTATCAAAATAAAGGACTTAAGTACCTCTGTCTGTTGTTTCAAAGAAAAACCCAAGTTTAATTTGTCCAAAGTTGATGCCAAAGCCATTTCAAGCAAGTATCGTTCCTGAGCCGACGCCATCTTTGTAGTTTTTCTCCCTTGCAGCTCTGGTGCTGAGCCTGCCTTACGTCTGATTAAAAAGAGAGCGCTGTGTGGCTGGACCTAAAACTTTTCAGGCCAATTCCATTGTTTTTCTGTTCTTATCTAATACACAGAATAGCAAGGGTTTCCGTTTTGACCTTACTTTGCAGACAGTTTCGGCTTCATAGTCGCCTTCGTCAGAGCTTCACCGATGTTGATGACGTCACTTCCGTTGCTGTTTATCTGCAGACAGCAAAGGACGACGTCGTCCTCTGCTGTCTGCTCCTTAATCACCACGTCTCATGAAAAATCCAGTGTGTAAACTCCTTAATCCCTATTCATGGTCCAGGGTCCACATCTCCTTATCTCAGTCACCTCTTTCATCCATTATGGATAAGAAAAGAAGTGACACCATCAACATCGGTGAAGCTCTGACAAAGGCGACTGTATGAAGCCGAATCTTTCAGCAAAATAAGGCCAAAAGGGAAAACTTTGCTACTCTGTGTGTGAGATAAGAACAGACACAGGCCAATGGTGGACCTGCTGAAGCTACAATGGAGTGTGGCCAGACCGACCTACAGAGCTAAATCTTCTGCTACTGTTACGGTACGACTAGCTTTCTAGGCTAGCTAAATGCAGCTTTTGTGGTTCAACCATGAAATGAAGATGATGTAAAAGTTTGTGTGAACTGCTGTGAAATGTTGGAGACTGTAGCTGATTTAAGGTGATGGTTAACCAATCTGGTCTTTGTTGGGTTGAGACTAGCTGTTAGCTCATCAGTCCTGAAGGACCCAAACTCTATTTCTCTAAAGCAAAGCTATAGGAAGCTGTCTAGAATAGGCAAAAATAGTGTTTTATAACTTCTACACAGAGTGAAACTTCCACACACCTTAAAACTGCAGATAATCATCTGAAATTTTGGAAATTCTTTCAGGCACATTTTTAGAGATCTGCACCCGTTTCATAACACTCAGCTATTCACGGTTTTTGTTTGCGACTCAGCTCATGTGGCCTTTGGCTTTGAACCACAGACCTAAAAATAATCAGACATATTCAGGTCAATAAGGTCTTTCCAGGAACTGATGAGGAAACGTTTTCTGTCGTTGCAGGGAGGACCACGCTGGGTAGTGATGGGACAGACATCCCCTTGCAGGGCCCGGGCATTACAGCTCAGCATTGCTACATCGAAAACCAGGCGGGGAGCATCACCCTGTACCCATGTGGAAACCAATGCTCTGTGGACGGACTTCCCATCACAAAACCCTACCGCCTCACACAAGGTAGCACCATCACATACTCACTGATAGCATTATAATTCATCTACTGTCCAGCTTCACTACATCCCAGAAACGTCCATGTCCCTTCAGTAGCAAAGAGCCCAACAGCCCCGCCCCCTCAGACCCCTTCCCTCTGGCCCAGCAGCTCCAACAAGAGAGGGAGAGTCAGAACGGCATGTGAAGCTGGTGTGTGGGGAGGCAGCAGCTGTTGGGCAACAATACAGGAGGCTGTTCCTCATTTTCAGGACTATGTTCTCCCTTTGAGTAAAACATCCTGAAACAGAGGGACCTGTAACTGAGGAATAATACAGCAGCACTCTGGACTCTGAAGGACTAATTTCTCAAACTTCCTGTGGAAAATTTCAGCGAAGGGGATAAATCAGACGCTCTGGAAAGGTACCAGAAATCATAAAGGAGGTGATATCATAAATGGTTTAATTATATGTGAATTTAACTAATATGTAGTGATTATTAAAGAGGATTAAATCAAACCAAACACCAAAAACAATAGAAGACCCAAAGCTTTGGTGGCTGATTTAAACCTCATCTGTTCTTTTTTTATTACCTGAAAAAAAAAGAAGTTTTTTTTTATTATTTTAATTATATTTGGTTAATCTCAAATTGCATTTTTAGGGGATAAAATACAAATAGATGGCAAAATTCTAGAAATAAAATTTAAAGTTTGTCTACATGTTGAATTACACGTCAGAATCAGTTAATGCCTAAATTGGTGCTTGAAACCCACTTTGGGTCATCAGAAGATCTGCAGAAAATAAACTAACTATATTTTTTCATTCGGTCTTAATTAAAATAAAATAAAATAAAAAATAGATAACAAGTTTTCCTTTTTAGAGGTTTTTCAGTGATGTCACCAGTGCAAGTATCGTTTTGTAGGCCAGCTGCTGACTGGTTTGGACACCACTGCACAAACGGGAGTGAAGTGTGATTTATAAACTTCCTGTCTGATCGCTGCCTGCAGGGTGCATGCTGTGTTTTGGCCAGTCTGCTTTTTTCCGCTTCAACCACCCAGAGGAGGCTCAGAGGATGAAGAGCATGCTGCCTGGAGGGAGTCTCAGAACAAACTCAACAAAACCCTTTTCCTCAGGTAAAAACAATCAAATAAAACCATTTACATTTCAACCACCGTCGTTCTGAAGAATGCCTCTGATCCTGAAATAACCCGGCAGAAACAACTGTGTGCACAAATGCTGCAGCAGCTATTCTGGGCAAAGCAAATGCTCCAGGCTCATAAAACTCTTCAGATTCCTTCATCTGACTACAAAAATGTTTGTTTGGTTGCAGGATTTGGGGGAGAATTTGGAGTCTGGATGCTGCAGGAAATAAAGCCTTAATGCCAAATTTAAAACATTCTAAAAACAGAATTTGCTTCAGTATTTGATAAACTTAGCACAAACTCTGTCTTTTTTCACATCCCTGGCCTGAATCATTCCTGCTCCTGACGGGGAGCAGAAATAGCTCGTTCAGAACTAATTATCAGCGGCCTACATTGTGATTGGAGTGCTGACCTCATTGTGTTGTAATCTTTGCCTCCACGTTTTAGTTTTTAGTCGCCGTTGCAGTAGCTGCGGCGTGACTCTGGCGGTAACGCTCTGTGATATTTAGCAGCCATTCTCCTGTGACCTTCTTAGTGATGCAGTAAAAGGCACCACACCCTCCCAGAGTGAGTCACCCACTCTTTCCTGACCAAACCCTGATTTCACTGCTTCGAATGAGCTTCATCTTTATATTTGGCAGCCTGCGGGTTTTCAGCACAGCTGAGCACCAGTGCATGGACTCCATAGGAGATGTAGTAGATTCCTGAGCGGCTCCATGGGTGCCTAAACACACAAGCAAGGATGCTTATTTTTCCTTTTATGGACTCCTTTATGGTCTCAGAGCATTCCCGAGGAGTGTTTGAGCTCAGCTGGGTAAACAAGACACATGGCCTTTGTTAGCTGTTTGTTTATGAGTGTTTTTACAACTGTCCTCTTCAGCTGGAACGCTCACAGACGAGTGTTTCTGTCTCCTCTGCAGGCCCCCGCAGCGTCACCAATGGAAACCTTGAGTCCTTCACAAGCAACAGCGATGTCAAACTCAACAGCGTGGTGAAAAATCTGCAGGAGACCCTGGTGCTGAGGGGGTCATCGTCTTCTCCAGGGTTTGGTAAACGACCTCCCCAAACATCTTCTGTGGACATGCTGAACGAGAGGAACGGCTCAGCAGCAGGGAGCTCCGTTCACAAAAACAGCAGCAGCATCTCAGCGGGTCCCAGCGTTGGCAATAAAACCCCCGCGGTACCATCCCGATCAACTTGCTCCAGTCAGGCTCCCGTTCCCCATCCAAGGACATCCTTGTCTGTGGGTTTGAGTGGAACTGGTGTGGCTCAGAGGACCCAGGAGAGCCCAAAGCTTCCTAGGAACGTGAGGGCCGAGGCCCCATCAAGCCCCAAGCCACAAGTCAGGGGATCAGGTACAGACAACTCAAGTACCAAACCTTCTTCCATCAGGTTTTCACAAACAGCTCCCCCCAGCCCTCGACTGAGAGGGTCCTCTCTACAGGTGAGATCCCCTAGCCCACTGAGGGAGCAGCTTTTCTCCCATGTTGATGTTCCTCAGAGGATAAGTGGGTCCAGCAGTCACAGAGAGCTTCCTGCTCTCAGCATTGACGTGTCCTGTAGAGGATCTTCAGGCTCACATGGAGTCCCCGAGAGCCCCCACGATCACCAAAAGCTTCTAACTCCTTCAAAGGCAGAGACCACCAGAGTGCTGTATACGCAGAGTCCATCACCGCTGCAGGGTCTGGAAAAGGAGTCAGGAGGCAGGTTGTTACGACCTAGCCCTGCAGGTCCAGGCTTGGGTTCAGTGTCTGGTTTGTCTCCTCTGGCGAGCCCTCGTAGTGAAAGGAAGACCACCAACATGAGCGTGAAAGGATCCACTGGAAAGGAAGGAAATGTTACGAAACCTTACACCCGGGAACGCAAGAACAGCATCTCAGAGATCAGCGATAATGAGGATGAGTTGTTGGAATACCACCGCTGGCAGAGAGAGGAGAGGCTACGGGAACAGGAAATGGAAAAGCTGGTGAGTCTGGATTGGGACGTGTCTCGTGTGATTGGTTATTCTGTATGGGTAAGATATGCAGCTCATCCTGCTAATTTCTCCTTAGAAGTTTGCTCTGTTTATTTCCGTAAATCCTCTTTGAAACAATCAACGACGATGAAAATTTAAAAAGTAAAAACAGGAAAATGTGGAAAATACTTTTTGATCAGCAGAAGAAACAGAACCCCAGAAGGTCCGCAAACATGATTTAAAATTAGCAAAACAGACTTTAGTGGAAACTTGCTGGCTTGATACACACGTCTGCTTTCTGATGCCTTCTCCAAATCCTCTGGTGCTCCGCCAACAGTTTATCCCTCCTCTGAACATCACTGGCATCGTCGGTCCGGATGTCAGATGTCTCGGGGTCCGGTGCGGAGGACGCAGCTGGTTGTTGCACCACATTAAATCTACAGGCATCTAGTTTCAAAGCTGCCTCCACTTGAATCGAATCTCTTTCTGCTGAGTTCCTGCACACGATCACAGACAGCCTACTTGTTTTTTATCTTCAGCTCAGCACCCAAACTCTGTCTCATCCATCACTCGACCTGGAATTCTGTCCCCACCCATTCCTGACCATCAGACCCTGATGATCACGGGTGGGGGGGTCACTGTTTCATCCACTGCGGCCATTTGAATGAAGTTAAAAAGAGTTCTGCTCCTGGTTCTTTCTTTCTTTTTAGCAACCAACAATCTCAGTTCTTGACCTGCTGAGAGACAAAGGGAGGATTCCCCCTCGGCAAGATCAACTCTATATTTGGCCCTCTGCTCTTGCAGCAGAGTTGGCATAGAAATGCAGGACCACTTTTTCTTTAGCTGTTTTATCCTTTTTTGAGGACATATACACTTCTGTAGTTTAGAAGCCAGTGCAGCCCTTCATCTCACAGGAAACGGGACTGAAGCTGGGAGCTGGTAGTTAGATCATCTTGTTTCTTCTTGGAGAAGGCTAAACCAATTAGCTGATACTCCAGCTGAGAGATGCCCTCCCAGCCGTTGGGTGAAAACTTTTCACCTGAAAAAGACATGTTCATCCCTGATCTATTAACACTAGAACTCAAAGGATTCGTCAGTTTGACGTCTGTCATTTTGGCCATTAAATGCAGGCTGACGATGACTTTGTGGAGTAAAATGGTTCAAGTGCGTTATTAATGAACTCTTTATGGATGTGTGAACCTAATATGGCAAGAAACTATAATTTTAATCCAAACCTTGAAAAGAAGTATCTCTAGTGTTTGCTGGGTGACCGACACGGATCTTCTCCATGGGTGGGGGCAAGGGGTCCCAGATCGTCTTCCGCGTTGCTGTCAGAGTCTCTGCCGCTTCCTACTGACAAAGTTTTCATCAGCTTTCCCCTCTCCACCTGAAGCAGACTCATTTCTCATGCTTGCTTCACTGAGAATGTTCTTCTAAAAGCTGTTTCAGCCACCATTTCACACGCAGTATGAATGGAGAGGGAGCGCTCGAGCTGGAAAGTTGGTTGCTTAGCAAAAGCTACACTGTCAAAATACAAAAAACAGTCAAAATGACTGCCTTGGGAGTTCTAGTGTTAATTGCTTTGTTACAGGGACATCATGGTGCTAGATTTGTTTCTTTCCAGAAATAATCAGTTTTTGGTATTTAGATGTCAGAGGAGGCTGCATGGTGGTGCAGTTGGTAGAACTGTTGCCTCACAGTAAGACTTTTACAATGCCACATCCCTGTTCATCCTTTCTGTGCTGAGTCAGCGTATGCTCCGCATGGTGGTCTGGGTCCCTCCTGCAGACCAGCCAGGAACATGTTGGGTTTTCCTGGAGACTCTAGTCTTCACGTGTCCTGTCTAGGATGTCCCCCGCCTGTAGATATCCTAATCAGAAATAAAACACAAAAAAAGAATGACTGTAAGAGAGGGATTCTTCTCCCCAAAGCAGTAATTCATGCATGCGTTTGGTTATTGTTTTTTCATTTGCTTAGCAACAGAACCAAACGGAAAAAGAGTTTTGGCTGATGCTGCTCCACAAAACACACGGGGGTCATAACGGAACATTAGGACATTTTATTTGTTTCTGATTGTCATCTAAAACTGTCTGAAAGCTGCTGTTGCAACCAGAGCATCAGTGTGGTGATTGTCCCTCTGAATGATTCATGCAGCAGATCAAAATCAAGTAAACCAAGAGACAGTGTTTTAAATAACGTTAGGCTGGAACAATGGTGACACATTTCATGTAAAATCAAAGCCATTGTGAAGAAAAGCAAGAGAAAAACAGACCGCAAATCCAGAGGCGTGTCCAGGGAGTGGCCTGGGGTAGCCACCCTTAAATCTGACTGGCCACCCCTGGTTCCACCCCACTGAATTTCCTCTAAATTGACTTTATATTGTCCAAACTAGGCTTGGGGTTTAAAAAAAGGCATAACCACAGGTGCCACCCATGCCATTTTAAAAGATCTGGACAAATCAGAGCAAAGTAACCATATCGAGTTTGTTTGTTGAGCATGTTTAAAAACAGAGTGAGAGCTGAATAAAGTGCTGTTCAGAGTAAAGAAAATCAAGAATAAACACACATGGAAAAAACCCAGAAAAAATAGTAAATACTTCAAACAAATAATCAGCTAAAGGAGGAAAAACGCAAAAAAGCAGACCAAAAAAGAGAATCACTCAATGTTTAATGCCAGTACATAAAAATGAGGTTAAAACAAGCCTTAAAGTGGTGAAAGGGCCAGCCTAATCTGCAGCTGTGCCACGGTTTAGACTGAGAAGTCAGATTTACCCTGGACTCTATAGGAATCTGTCAGTAACGATCAGCTGATCTGAGGGGCTGGTGAGCTCTGAAGGAGTGAAGGAGCTCAGATGGTAGCTGGGGCCTAAACTGTTCAGAGATTTAAAATCAAACTACAGGATTGTGAAATGTACATGGAACTGTGGGGATTGGATCGGAGTGATGTCCTGTCTCCAACCTGTACCTGTCAGAAATCTAGCTGCCATTTTGAACTTGAACATGAGATTAAAGCGTTATTGATACCATAAAGGACTGAGTTTAAGTAATCGAGCCTGGAAGTGAATGACAGACTTGAAGTGGCGTAACAGGACATGACAGTTTGATTCATCTGAGCATCCATCTACAAGCCAGAGCCCATCCTGACTCCAAGATCTGGAAGGTGTTAGGCTGGACCTCCCCTACCCTAACCTCAGTGGGACACAGATCATCAGGACTCTCATTTCTCCTACAGGAGCGTCAGAGGCTGGAGACCATCCTGAATCTGTGTGCAGAGTACAATCAGGTAGACAGCTCTGCAGGGCTGGAGGGGAGTGGACTGCTGGGGGGCGCCGGAGATTCAGAGCCCGGAGGGGGAGCGTCTCCTCAGGGAGCAGACTGGGCTCAGAGACCGAAGGAGAACGATGAGGAGAACCAGAGAGAGGAGTCCAGCAGCACAGAGAGCACACATCAAGAGGTGAAAACTTACCTTACAGAAATGTTTTTAAGTTGATCCAAATCTATTGTTGAGATGTTCTGAGGTTGATTCATTCAGCCTGTTCAGTAAATCCAATACGGGTTTTTTAGGAAAGCTTAAAGCTGCACTGGCAAATTTAGAAAACACATTATTTGAAAACATTTTTCTCGTGCCTCTTAACAACGTTCTAACATGGTGTTCTCCACCAATAACGCACTTCAGACCCAAAGCAACTATTGGACCATCCGGTTGTCAGTTTTGCCGAACCACCGCCATTCCCTGGGTCCTCCTTTCATTAGGCAGTTGCATGTTTAGCAACAGAACACCACTGGTGTGAGAGGTTCTCCATTCAATAATATCAGAGAAGGAGAAACAGCCGGCTGCTACCGCTCTAACTTTAGAACAAACTACTAGTCCCAAAAAGAAAAACACCATTTGAAGTCACAGACAACAAAAGAGGTTTGAACGTAGAAAACGGCGACTGGTGTTCAGCGCACTCTCGTTTCACGCGCAGCAACATTTGTTTGCGCACAGGCTGGATGCTTTTTCTCCCATTTGCAGGGGCCGTAACACTGATTTTCTGTGTTAGTTAGATTCAAATTGTGCATTGTTTTGTTTTGGAAGACTAAGAACCCTTCAAAGATGTCCTTCACTGAGAAACCATGTTTTACTTTTTATTTTTGAAAATAATCGGTCACTCTGTGTTTAACATGCAAGCTGAACATAAAAATAGTCTCCTACACATATCTCCTGCATTAGCTTCTGGTAGAAAACAGACAGTGAAATTCTAGAATTGGAAAAGCCTGACGGATGTACAACATTCATGGACTCACCCATCTTGGTTTGCAATGCTGAAGGCTGTTGTTGGCTTAGCAAGAGCAGAGAATGTCTCAACTTGCTGAGGCTAACCATTAGCATTAGCTACTCTGCCACACAGCAGAACTCCTCCAGGCCTGTGTTATTTGTGGCGATAGAACATTAACATTGCAAAGCCAACAGCCAGTCATAGAGCTGTTTTGCTGTTAGCCAATCAGAAGAGAGATGTCCAAATATCAGGAAACAAGACTCCAAATCCTGTCATATGAAGCTACTTTCTCCTCCAGCTAAATTCTCTGCGCCGACACAGACACGCTTGAAGCATTCATTCCTACTACAGACCACAGAAAACGTATTAAAATATGAGTGAAGGGCCTCTTTAATAAGCTGTTATTGTGGTTCAGATAACTCCTGTGCCCTCGGTCACAGACAGACATCTTTGGTAAAATCCTCCTTATGATAAAAATAAATGAACGTGAGCTCTTTAAGACACAATATTTATAGATGTAAACATTTTCCTCAGTAACAAAGGTGTCTTGGAGAGAAATTCACATTTAAAGAGACATAAACATAGAACAAGGTATGAATCTGCTTTAAGTTGATGTAATGTGCAGATATTGGTCTTTCTGAACAAAAATGTTTATTATAGTAAAATCAGGAGACTTGATGATGTTTTAAGTATTTTTTCTTCACCTAACAGAATGAGACAACCCATATGTTCATATTCTTAACCTTTTAAGTTCACGCATCATAAAAATAAATTAAACATGTTTATAGTTTACCGGGTGATTGAAAATCTGCGTCTTGTTTATTTAATCTTAGTGTTATCCACTCCTTATTTTGTGTTTAATCAGCAAAATAAAATGTTGGAGATGTTTTTTTTATTTTAAGATGAACGTTTTAGTTAGTTTTGTTAGCAGTTGTGTCATCTTTTAAAACCTCTGCTCCCAGTGTGAGGAGCTGTTTTCTGGGAGGGAGCAGGTCTACCTGGAGGAGGAGAGGACGAGGATCCTGGTCAGGGTGGATGACCTGACGCACAGAGTGGGTGAGCTGGAGCAGCTGCTACAGGAGACCAAACAGGAGGTGGGTACACCCCTGAACAATCACAGATGATTATATCTGGAGATCTCTAGGTGTTAGCTTTGACTGGGTGTTTGTGTGCAGGTGGAGATGGAGCAGGCGCTGCTGCAGGCCGAGAGGCGGGCTGAGCAGGAGCAGGTGGAGGCTGAAGGCCAGATCATCTCTCAGCTGCAGCTCAGACTCAGCCAGCTGGACTCGAACGCTCAGAGAGAGAAGGACAAGGTGTGTAAACGCCGCTGCACGTCCGCCTGAGTACACAAACTCGCTCCTTCCTGGATGTGAAGTCACATTTCAGACGTGCACTGCTTCCAGACTGTATTCACTACGAGGTGCGGTTTAAAAATACATTTTAAAAAAATGCAGAAATCTTGCAAGAGCTGATTTGGAAACACAAAAAAGCTTCTTTTAACCGTTTGGCCTGTCTCATTCTAACAAACGTGCGAAACATTAAAACCACCAAACTAACTTCCTTGAATAACCTTTTAACTGCTTTGGCTATCTTAAAGCTTTCAGAGCTCAAATGCATGAAATTGGAGTTCTTCTTGATATTTTTTCGCCCTCCCCGGTGTGGTATTTGGGTCTCAACGTGGACACGATTGTGTGTGTGTGTGTGTGTGTGTGTGTGTGTGTGTGTGTGTTTTTAGGGGAGAGCTAATGTGTCGGCTGAGCGGAAGGTCCTGGAAAAGCAGAGGAATGAGTACAATGAGCTGAAGATGCAGTTTGATAAGTGCCCCTTGTCACTAAGGGAACAGTTGCAGGAGCAGCTCAGCAGGGTCAGTGTTCTCACGCAGCCCACTGGCTGGCAACAGTGAGTTATATCATCCTGAACACCACAGAGATGCATTCTGATCTGCCTCAGATGTAACACGCTCGGCTCCGAAGCGCTCAGAACTAAACGTTTCATGGCTACTGCGTTTAAATTCAAACAGAGGGATGCATTTGTGCCTCCTGCGGTGGCTTCAGCTTTCAGAGCTTCTTTATGGATGCTTGATGATGTTTGTAGATTTCAGTAACAATTAATTCTGTTATTAACAGCTTTGCTAGTCATATTTGCATGCTTTTTACAGGCAACTCCCTCTAACCTGTGTGTGTTTCATCCAGAGCAGTATAAAACTTAGTGGGTCAGTGTTACAGCTTTGCATTGCTGTTTGGGTTTTAAGAGCAAGAGTATTGAGCGTGACTATCCGTGTCTAGAAAGCTGACGCTCTGGAGTGTGGGACCAAGCGGTTTGAGGAGCTGGAATTCTGTCAGCTGGAGGAGGAGAGCGGTCTGGAGGAGAAGAAGGAGGCTCAGCGCTTTCAGCTTCTCCAAGAGCGAGCCGAGTATCACTGCAGTGTGGCCGAGAGAAAGGTGGGACCGCAGGCGTAAACATTTGTGAGAGATTCGATGAGTTTTCTACAACATCTGGATTCACAGGAGAAGATGGCTGCCCTCGATGCTCAGGTGAAGCAGCTGGGGATCCAGGCATCTCAGGAATGTGAGAAAGTAGAACATGATAAGAAGATTACCCTGCAGCTGCTACATCAGGTGAGTCGTTCGCTTCTAAAAATGGTGGTGCATGCAGCTACAGCTGGTGGAATGATACCTGTCCATCCTTCCAGGAACAAGACAGGTTGTGTTCCCTGGAGAGGAAGTACCACACCCTAACAGGAGGAAGAAGCTTCCCAAAGTCCTCCAGCAGCATGAAAGAGGTGAGCAGATACACGTGAGGCGACGTCCCGACCACCTGCGATGTCTGAGCTGGAATTATTGCAAAAAGTAGACATATTTTTTTACTTGAGTAAACTTTCTGAACAGGATTTGCTTCACATCAGCGAACCTGACCTTGTTTATGTGGACGGGCCTCCTCATAGTCCCTGTCCCTCCTTTGCCTCCTTCTCCTCCTCTCACATCCCCTCCCCTGAACTCTGTCCTGTCAGGCTGCAAGAGGTAAATCTGAACAGTTTAGTGTGAACAAACTAATTTAATGCTTCTACATAAAAATGGGGCATGTTGTGTGTTCGCAAAAATCTGCTTACAGCAGATGGTTGTGGTGTGTAATTAGTACACTGCAAAAAGTTTTTTTCAAAAATGTAAAAAGTTTGAAGAACATTTATCCTATTATTTGTCTAAAAAGAACATTTTCTGGAATTTTTGAAACTTATAAAACAAATCTGATATTAGGTTCTGCTAGTCTTAAAGGTTGAATATGGAACACGGGCACTATAGCGACATCTAGTGCTTAGAGGTGGTAGTGCAACAACAGAACACATTTTCCAGCCATCAGGGGAGGGGTGAGGGGAAAGGTGTTAGAAGGTGTAGATGTTATGGTACAGTGGGTTTGTATCGTTCAATGGTGCAACCAGAACGCATCCAAATGTTTTAAATGAAAGGTTGACTGAGGATCTGGGGGGTGTTGGTTCACTGCTGATATGTGACATGACCAGCCAGCACCATGTCTGGTGAAAAATTGTACAAGGTAAGGACTCATTTCTACTAATAAGTTTATTTATGGCAGTATTTACCGTTAGAACGTCTTCTGGGCTAATAATCAGCTGCTTGACTTAACCAGTCCGCCATTTTACACAGTCCTAGCTTCGCCTTGCCAAGCGGATTTTTACCACAATGGTGCCCTCTAGTGGCCAGTAGATGTAAACATAAACCCAGTGTCGTGCCCGTCAAAATAAAAAATTGTATATTTATTTTTTAATTATAGCTTTTATAGGAGAAACTACACATACATTCTATACTCTAAACATCCTGTGGAGGTATTATTTTAAACAATTTAGCTTTTTATTAAAATATTCCAAATTCCACCTTTAAGAGTTCTTGCAAAGCAACTTAGCTTATCTCACTGGAAGATTTCTTTTACTCAAAGCAAGAAAGTGTGATCCCGTTTAAGAATATTTACCTTATTTCCAGGAGTGCTGTTTTTGCAGAGAAGATTGTTTTGCTTCTTTTTAGACAAAAAAAGAAGATAAAATTAGGCTTTTTTTACCTTCTTGAAAATCAGTTTTTGCAGTGTAAGGTGAGTTTGTGTTCTATGTTTGTAAATAAGATTAAAATGTCCTTTAAAACGTATTAAACTTAAGTCAATCTGTAATTATTTCAAACATGGAGGCCTTGTAATTTGCAGCATCATGACCTTTACTGTGTGAATCCTTTGACTGACTGACTGACTGTCTCCTGGCTGTCGATGCAGGAGTATCTCAGGCTGTCTGATGTCTATAGGATGTATGGAAATGCTTCTCTGCAGCATCACTCCTCCTCCCCCGCTGCTCTCCACTGCCTCTCTCTTACTGTATCTCCAGCTTTGCCACGTGAGGTAGACAGCTCTTCTGCTCCTTTAAAGGCTCTGATGTTATTTTTTTATACTTTCTTCTCTAACTTCTGCTCTCTCCCTATTTTGAAAACGTACTTTTGCATTTCTCTGTGTCCGTGTGAAGGAGTACATCACAGTCAGTCAGTTAAGCCAGATCTTTGGGATGCAGCGAGCTAACCCCTCCCCTTCCTCCTCTACTCCATCATTCCAACTGGCCCAGTCTGAATCCACCTTCTCCTGCCGCTCGGCTGCATGTGGTCCTTCCTCTTTCCTCTCTGCGCAGGTTTGTCCTTCAAGCTGACACATTTCCTCTTCACAGCACTGCCCCAATCCCCTGAACTTTTATGATCTCTGCTGTCTTGATAAAAGACCACGTTTAATCTTTCCTGCCAGTTTTAAGCTTGTTCGCTTGTTTTTTTTTTTTGGCTGGATGCTTTTGATCACCTCAGAGCCAGCCTGAGCTCAGCAGGAATGCAATGCCTCCCATTAATCTTGAGCGCTGGTACCAGGACATCATGGCTGCTGGAGAGCCTCAGTCCTGTCCTCCACCGCTGCCTGCAAAGTCTTTTTCCACACGCAGACACAGGCAGGTAAATGTGCACTCTACTTTGACAATGAGCACCAACATCAGTGCATTATCGTGAGATAAAATATTTCTGTTATTTGTTAGAAATAAGCAAATATGTATTAAGAAACCCTCCAGCACTGGTTAGACTGGTCGGTGACCATTCATTCTGCCACAAAATACAAAAGAAAAACATGGCCACCATTAAAACCAATGAAGTAAGAAATGAAAATAATACATTTTGTCTTACAGTTGTTAAAGTCCAAATCAGACGGTGAGGTTGGACAAGGAGCATCAAGCTCTCCAGCCTGCAGCACCACCATCCTGACACACACCAGTGGCTTCAGGCATGAGAAAGCTGCACCTATCACGGTCAGTTTTTATGCTCTAAACAATCATCAGCTCCACGCAGCTCACAGCGTGATGTTTTCTTGTGTCTCTGCTTGGATTCACAGTTGATGCTGAGGGAGAAAACCCCATTAGACATGGACTCCAGGAAACTCGTGGCTCTGGAATGCAAAGGTACTCGAGTCCCTTGGTTCAGCCACATCATCAAATGATACAGTTTTACAACTTTTATATGAGAACGTACGGACTGGATCAGCCAGAACAACAAAACCCGAGTTGTACTCTTAAGCTTATTCCAGGGCCACGCAACATTTTCTCTGAGAGTTGGAGCTCAGATCAGTAGTTTAGTGGTTTTAATGTTGTGGCTGATCAGTGTGATTGTGATCTGTTGACAGCAGCGATGTGCTTCTACCAGTAGAGGGCAGTGTAAGTCTGTAATGTGCTCTCTATGTTGTACAGACCCATCACCAACAGTCCATCACTCCTACCTGCATCATCAGTCGCCACCCGGTGGTAACCAAGCATATGACACGCTGAGTCTGGAGAGCTCAGACAGCTTGGAGACCAGTGTCTCCAACTCCACGTGTACCCCAGAAAGGTGAGAGGCTGGAAGAAACAGAGGAGCAGTTGCCTCTGTTTCCATGGGAACACCTAAATCTGCTCCCTCTCTTCTGAAGAAAGGTCACTGTGCTTTGTTACTGTGACAACATATTTTGTTACAGGCCTGCTCACGTGACCACGTTGGCTGTTGCCATGCCAACCCACTCAAGTTTATGAAGTTACGTTTACTAGTGTTAATGGGGAACCCGTGTCTCGTCTTGCTCTCCTGCTGTTTTTGGGTGTTTGGTTTCCAGGCATGTTTGTTTACCTTTTTCATCCCGAGCCTTGTCACAGGCATGTAATCAATGCAACTTTCCCCTGTGTGTTGTAGCGCCTGTGGGTTGGAGGCCCAGAGGCTAGAGGAGATGGAAAAGATGCTGAAGGAGGCTCAGCAGGAGAAAGCCAGACTGATTGAGAACAGAGTGAGTTACTTCTGCAGAGCTTTTATGTTAAAATCAGTCTTTGCACAACTGCATGACAGCGTCCCACCACTTCACCCCCTCAGGTCCACAGAGCTACACCATGTCATTAATGTTTGCAGGGATGAGTTGTTTCTAGACCAACAATAACACATTTCTGTACCCCTGTCTTCTGATTTTAAACTTTGCACATTTTCTGTTTCTTAAAGCCACAATAAACAAGTTTCCCGCCTCTCCCTCCTACTGGTTGAAAGTGGAATTACAACTGCCTTAAACAACCCTGCTTCAGCCCTCTATAGCTAGCGCTAAAAATGAGCTAGCGTTAATGCAAGCCAACTGATAAAAAAGTATAATGATCCACGCTAAAAAATATTCATTCTTAAAAGTAGTGATGTTGAGAAGCCTTGTGATGAACTGAAGCTTTCTAATCAACTGGTTCGAGGCGCTGTGATGATTAATTTGCTCTACTGCGCCAACAAGTGGCCGTAAAACAGGCATGATGATGAAGATGTGACGTGTGAACTAATTGATTATGTTTGTGATGGCAACATATAAATTCTGATTATTGTTTTAATATTCTTTTAATAAAATGTCTAGTACGCAATCAAATCCCACAACAAAACATGACGGGAGAATATGTTTGATGGCCCTTTCATTTTGAATCCCATGAACCTGGAAGCTAGTTCAAAGCTACGTTGGAATCATGTGAGCGGGGAACACGCTTTGATTGGCCACTAGAATATTTCAGCACAGCCAGCAGCTGACGTAGTGCGCACACGGCGAGTCTTAACCCCCCGTGAGGCGGAAAATATCTCACCAGTCAGATATTCGCCTCAGCGTCTCGTGAGGCGGAAAACTCAGTGAAAATCAGGCGCACACAGCGAGCTATCTGCTGAACAAACAGTCATTCGAGGCCGTTTGCTCAGCAGATTGCTCTCGTGTGTGGCAGGCTTTAGTCGCCGATGGCAGTGAATGAGTTAAAGTGTAAAAAAAAAACCTTTAGTGTTCCTTTACATGACACTTAACACCCATGGTTTAGAAAGTGGTTTTAGTTGCCTTTTTGAGACATATTCTTTACTCGAACTTATTTACTAAAGACAAAGCTTCCTCACAAAATTAAACTTGCAGAAAAATTTTTAACAGATGCTGTAGTTTGATGGAAAAAGTAAAGACAAATGTAAATACTAGATCCACAAGCATAAAAGTGCAATACAAACAAATGATGAAGGGTTTCCTGCTGCAGTCCCACCTGGGGATGGTGACCTCATTACGTTACTCAAACAGCATGAAGCTCACTGGTTTCTCTCTCCAACATTTGCTCCTAAACGCATTAAATAATAAAATTATTTCTTTGGTTTTAAATTTCACTTGAACACAAAATAAAACCCTAACCCTAACACCAGACTTGAGTTGTTGTGCTCCAAACACGTAGGTGAAAACTCGTGATCCGCACAGCAGATTTATGAAAACAATGTACATTTTGCCAGTAAATCACAAAAAACTTTTATTTCCACTGAGAGCAGAAGAGACGTAATTTTGAGTTAAACTAGTGAACAGTTTCAGAAATGGTGAAACGAAGCTGTAAAACATTTTGTTTGTTTTATTTCTTTATACTGAAATAAAGCAGGCCTGTGAGTAAGTATCTGAAAGCCACAAAGGATCATTTTACATCAGCTTCCTCTTCCGTCTGCAGACAAAAGACATATATTTTACAAAACCCTGGATTGGGACTTGAATTCTCCTGAGCATCTTCTGACAGTCACCTGCTTTGTTTTGCAATATTTGCCTTCCATGAACATATTTCCCCGTCTCTCCTTATTTCTCCTCTCCTCCACTCTTCATTCTCCCACCCGGCGCTCCCAGGAGAGGGAGGTGCAGGCTCGGCGGCAGATGTTGGAGGAGGAGCGGAGGAGACGAGAGGAGGCCGAGAAGAGGCTTCAGGACGAGGCGGCCCATAGGCGGAGGCTGGTGGAGGAGGAGGTGAAGATGAGAGAGAAGCACTTCTCTCAGGTCAGTGGCACAGCGGGAGGAGAAGACGGGGAGGGGAAGGAGGGGAGGGGTGACTCGAGGGGAGAGAGGATAAGAGGCGAGACACTAAAGGGAGGTTGGGTGAAAAAGAAGATCAAAGATTGTCAAAGAAAGATGAAGAGGAGGAGGAGGGGAGAGTGAAGGGAAAACAAAAAAGAGGAAGGGCAGAAAATAAAATAACCACATAATTTATTATAAGCTTAGATCCGACAGACGTCTAATGAAGAATCTTCCCATTGGTCGACCTTTGTTTTCATCGTCTGACTCAGGAATCTGTTTTTAAAAAGCCACACAACACCGACATCATCGTTGAAGTCGTTTTAATTTAATGTGTGTTCTTTTATTTCTAATTCAGAAGTGTTGAGCAAAAATGAATAAAAATTACAAGAATATGAGACATTTTCATTCGTTCATCTCATCTTAGGAGAAAACTGTAACATTTGTTGCTCTGTTAGAGATAAAGGATGAGTTTGCACCTCCAGGCATTTAAAGACAACAAACATACACACATATTTATCCTGTTGTTGTTTATGAATGTTAATGAATAAACAAACACATGCTGTTAAGCTTTGAAATATGTTTTTGATTTTCTCTTATTGGAATAACTTGCTGTGTGATATATCTTTTTTATGTCTTGAAATGGAAAGAAAACAGCATCTCCAGTTACTCTTGTTGCCACAAAACGGATTACCTAGAAACTAGAAGCGTTTAAGCAGCTGATCAGAAATGATGTTCGTCCTCGTCACAACCGTTTCCTTCCACAGGCCCGTCCCATGACGCGCTATCTGCCTAATCGTAAAGAAGAGTTTGACCTGCGAGCTCACGTGGAGTCGTGCGGTCACTGCATTGACACCTGCCCCTTCGTCATCCTCTCAGAGAAAATGTGCAAAGGTCACCTGGTGAAGATGGGAGGGAAGATCAAGTCGTGGAAGAAACGCTGGTTTGTTTTCGACCGCCTCAAGAGGAACTTCTGTTATTACGCTGGTGAGGAATTTGAGTTTTATTCATTGACATTTTCACAAGAGTACAGAAGACGAACGGGCGCATGCTGGTTGTTGCTAATGAGTAGGACTTCTGAACTTAACGCAGCCCTTGTTAATTAATATGTTTATCCTTCTCGTTAAATCACAACATCCGTTAAAACAGGTTCATCTGCTTGTTGCTATCTCCTGCTCTTTTTTGTGTAAACTAGCCAGCAGGCAGAAACCTTCTAGGGCAAAATGAAAGCAGAGATCAAAATAAAGAACATAAAAATGCAGAGAGTGAAAACAAAGCTCAGGGAGAGAGGAGGAAGATGGATCTGATGATGCACAGGTGAGTGGTAAAGCAGGAAGAGCAAATAAAAACCTGCGTGAGACACGAAGAAAGTAAATTGTTTAGGTCAAAATAATAATTAAGACGTCCCTCAAAATCACTGACAGTGGTGGACCCCCCCCCCCCCCCCCCCATGCCATTTAGGCTCACCTTTTAAAAAAAGCATAAATCTTAATAATTGTTTGGGGATAACAGACAAAATAAACAGTTTAAAAACTCTATCCAACCAACCGTCCGTCCAGCCAGCCATCGGGGTCGGGTCGCGGGGACAGCGGCCTAAGCAGAGAGGACCAGACTTCCTCCTCCCCAGCGACTTGGGCCAGCTCCCCCAGGAATATAGGATGAATAAATGAGTAACCGTGTTATGATGCAGGGTGTTTCAGCATGCTGATTTAAATAGGTTCATTATGGGAAAGTAATGCAAAACAATTAAGTCATAAAATGTCTGTCCTTCTTTAGACACCTAAACCATCATCTTTCTGCTAATCTGAGCTCCTTCCAAACCTGAAAATGTGACTAAAAATTCCAGTTTCTGCACTCTGAATCCACGAGTCTTACACGTGAATGGCTAGTTGGGGTTTAAGGGGCCTGCTGTGTCTGGCTTTAGTGTGTAAGCCGTGTTTACACACACCTGAATCTTCTCTGTCTGACAGGAGCGCTCCTGCTTTATTCAGTTCATGAAGATTCCCACCGTTTACTCCTGCTGGACCTCCTTCACCGTCATTCTCCTCACTCGTGTGGATGTCGATTTCTCCGTCCACGGCGGACTTTCCATCCTCTACTTTTAAACGTGTGTGTTTCACGTCCATCGGAACAGTTTTCTGCGCAAGTTTTGAAGCATTATTTTAGAGTCAAGTTCTAAATAAAATGCGGGTATAATTTCACTACTGACACCCCTGCTCCCCTCGCTCCTCTCTCCATTCACTTGGCTGGGCCTTTTCACCCCCTCGCTCCTGACGAAGATGATGGTGATGACGGTGATGAAATAAGATGCAATAGTGTCTCTGGATGTGTTTTTCTTGGGGAGGAGGCTAGCTCCTGGCTTGTTCGTGACTAATAAAACGAAACTCACATTTCAAAAACATTTATCTCATTACTAAGCAGATTTGACTTATGGGAAAGTAGAAAAAAACAAGTGGAAAAACATTTCAAAAGATTGCTTTTAATTGTTAGTGGGTGTTTGTTCCTTTGTGGGCTTCATTCTGCACGAGACTAAAGGAAAAGACCGCTGTTCGTCTGAGCTAGAGTGGGATTCAGAAACTCTTTAAGCAGAATCCAGAGGAAGGGATCCTTCTTTTTGAAATGCTGATAGTTTAGCCTCTAACACCCCAAAACCGCATCATGTCAGTGATGTTCATCATCAGGCTACAAGTCCTCGGCGTGGAGCGAACAAACGGTGGACAGAAGATCTGACCGGCTTTAAGCCACGTTCTGAACAGGAAGATCAAATGTGATATCCTAAAGTTGGGTTTCTTTTTAACATAAAAAAAAAACCTCCAACCTCGCCAGAAGCATAAAAGGTTACAAGAAGAAGAAAAATGCAGACAATCCAGAAGTGAAGAAAACAAGTCAGACTCAAAGGATGGAGAGGACTTCAGGCATGGCTGGAAATAGACTTTTAATTAAGTTTTCCTCTGAACCAGCCGGCTCATACCTATTCATGGCTGATGTGTTGCCAGGAAAAAAGGATGTTTTTGTCACCTTGTTATCAGCCTGATCTGTATTTAAATCCGTTCCTCTTTTCACCGACTCAAGAGAAAGGAAATAATGTCCAAAAAAAGTATTACGGTTGAGGAACTTTTCACTTTTGAGTTGCTGATGAGACAAATATTCAAATTGTATTTGTTGAGTTTGCAGAAAAAAGATGATAAATAGATGAACACATTGTAGGACATTTATTTTTATAAGATTTTGTTTTGAAATGTTCATAAAGACAAAAACTTTACTTAAAAATTAACTACAAAAAAAAAATCCTGAATCTTTTTTTTCCAAAAAGTTTGTTCCAGATTTTGGGAAACACAAAATGAAAAATTCTGTTTCAGCTTTTATTTTGTTGAAACTCCATCAGAGGAATTAGATGTTTCTGAAACGTCCCGCACCTGTTTTCTCATATTTCCGCTCATCTGTGGTTGACTCTCCCGTCTGGTGTCTGAGCTGGCAGAGGTCTTGCATCAGAGCTACACGATGTGTCTTAATTTAATTCTCCGGTTTTTCCTCCTCCCAGACAAGCATGAGACAAAGCTGAAAGGACTCATTTACTTTCAGGCGATTGAAGAGGTTTATTATGATCACCTGCGCAGCGCCGCCAAGGTAAACTTCACCGACAGGCTTATTCTGTTCCAGGTGTTATTTATTCTAATTATATCAGTAAATTTAAGATCTAATAAAGCTTCTCCTTACTAGAAAACAGATGCAACAGGTGTTGGTTACAAATGTCCTTTTACTTTTCTGTGACCAGAGCCCAAATCCATCGTTGACCTTCTGTGTGAAGACCCACGACCGACTTTACTACATGGTGGCCCCGTCCCCCGAGGCCATGAGGATCTGGATGGACGTCATAGTAACGGGAGCAGAGGGCTACACGCAGTTCATGAGCTGAGACGCCTCCGAGGGACAGATGGGGACAGAGAGAGACGGAGACACCTGCTCAGCACCACGCGGCCTGGCGGAGGGTAACGGACGGGGAGAAAAGTCTGAGACCTCCGAGTGAATCAGGGCTAAATAATAACAGAGATGCATTTGAAAAGTTTGGATTTAAGAAGGAAACACTCAGTCAGAAACGACAAGTTCTGTTTTTAATCCCTGAAATTAGCTTTTTGATCATTCAGGACAAGATTTCTTACATTTTGTTTACAACAAACTGAATTCCTGCAGCGTAACCTTTTTGATGCATTTTTACATTTTCTCCTGAATTTGGGAACATTTTCTGTTAAAAATAATAATATTTCTAACCACTAACCGTATAATAAACCATTTAAGAAGCATTTAATGTCACACAATGATTTGAATCTTGCTTTGTGCCAGATATCTATCTATTAAAGATTTTTACAATATCATTGTTAATATGTATATTTATATAAAGAGCTTTTCAGGTAAATAACGTTTTTTTTACTGCATATAAAAAAGTAAATTCTTGTCTCAATATTTTGTTGATTAAATTGCTTTAATGACATTCTATAAAAACAACTATTAAATAAATAAAAACACAAGTGAGTTTTTGTTTTGTCTGGTGGGTTTTAAAACTCTTTATGTTTTAATTAGCGCTTCATTAATTACACGTTCTTTAAATAATCTCAATGAGCCGACGTTCACAAGGGTGTACTCGACTTGTTTACGTACACAGGATGGTTTAACGTGTTCACTCTGATTATTTACAGGATCTGGACCAGAAGAGTCCAAATCAAACCACATATTTGTATTTCCAGGGCTGCCCGGTTAATTATACAGCGTGTCTGCAATAGGTGAGCTACATAAAAAAATGAAATTACATGCAACATGCATGATTCAACGCTGAGAAATTCGAAACCACACATGCACGCGTCCCACAAAATAGTTCTTATCTCGTCAGAAAGCCCGACTCCTGCTTTGCTTCTTGTTTCAAATGATGATTGAGACGTATGCGGAGTTTACAGCGGTGTGATTTGTTCACCTGCTGTTATCGGGGGAATGTTTAGCAGATCAGTAGGTAATCAGATTGTTTCTGACGGGTGCTGATTAGATTAGACTGAAACGTTAATCCCTAATTCCCCGGTTGGTTATGTTGCGTAATATTTATGAAAGGCGTTTAGAGCAGGCTGAGCCTGTCTGCGGCCTGGTGCTGTTTGCTCTCTCTGACCTTGGGAGAGATGTTCACACGTCGGTGTGTCTCCGAGCCTCAGGTGCACCCAGCTGAATCATAAGCAGATCAGTTAGAGGGCGATGTTAGCTCATGATTGTGGCGACGAGCATGAGTGACACCTGGCCTTATTGATGAGGGTGATCGCCTCTCACTTTCTCACCAGCAGATAAGCCCCCCCCCCCCCCCCCCCCCCCCCAGGCCTTCGTTGCCTGTTGGGTAGGCTGCGGATCAGTGAAGGTCTCACACGAGTGTGTCGGTATTAATGGGAGAAATTAGCCTTGTGTGAAAACAACCTGACGAAATGGAGACGTCTCTCAGCTCAGACGGAAACTTTAAAGCAGCGGAAGTCAAAACCTTCACAACATTTCAGTCAAGCATTTTTAATTCATGCGTTTTCATTTCCCCCCTGTGTGAGTTCAGATTAATGTAGGAGATTAAAGAGAAAAAAACTCAACTGCCCATCCACACACACACACACACACACACACACACACACACACACACACACACACACACACACACACACACACACACACACACGCACACACACACACACACACACGTGCGCGCAGGCATAGCAGATGAAAGCATCCTTCACGGCTGATATTTACCACTTTGAACAAATCAAACTCACTTTTCTTTGAAGGGAATGCAAATTGACACTAATTCAAAACAAGCCACCTAACATACAGCTTCATTAAATTACAATGTTTTTCAGATGTCATGGCATGCAACAATACTGGGAGAAAAACACCCAGAGGGGGAAATCTACCAGAGTCGGCCTAATAAGACCAGCCCGCGACTCTGGCTCCAGCGTGGGAGATTGTTATTCCTGTTGTAATCAGACATCTTTTAGATTATTTGTTACTTAACTACATCTGTAAAGGGCTTGTTACTGCTTTATCTTACCCAACAGCATGTTGCGCATAATAAACCAGGCCCTGCAGCTTCCATAAACGTAGAAAACAGCCTTTTCTATCCTGACAGCGTGACAAGTCTCCAGTATTCTGAAAGCTGAACAATGTGTCACTTAAAGGAAAAAAAAAATTCTCAGGTGGTATCCATCCTCTTGAATAACATGATTTTGGTTTAGTGCTTATGTGACAAATTGCCATGAGACCCGTCTTGCAGAAAGCATGTTGCCTGAATGAGTATGGACTGTGTAAAGCTCAGAGGTGATAGACGCCGAGCCTCTGGGGTCTCTGCTGAGCAGGATCACACACTCTGAGTGCTGTAAATAACACAAAGGAACCATATGGGACCTGTCTGGTTTAAATGCCCACAAGTGATGCACAGACATCATATTTTTATGGAACTTTTCATTTCTTCAATTTTTCTGTACATTTTGGCCAAATAAAACCTTTTTTGCGTGACTCTGAGTTTGACTTTTCGTTTCCTCTCAACGGGCCTCCTGTTGTCATCCCAGATCTTTTCTTCCTTGAGCACTTTGTTAAAGATTAGGAGTCAAAACCAACAAGAAGACGGGAAAGTTAAAAGCTGAGATCCAGGCTGCTGTATTCCTTTACATGAAACATGAAGCCCTTGAGGATTGGTAAATGAACACAAACCTGTGACCGTCTGGTTCTGTGCCGTCACAGCTGAACGCCAAATAAAGTTAGTCTTAGTTTTACCTTTCACAAAGGTAAATTACATTATGGTCGCCACCTTTCTCAGAATCGATTCACCTGTTTTCATGCCAAACAGACAAACGTGTAAGCTATCAGCAGGCAGAAACATCCCCAAATCCCCTCTGAGACGCTTCCATTCACAAGTGGTAACTGCACTACATGTTTTCTCCGTGTGTTCAAAGAGGGGCAAAAGTTGAGGACAATAAATTCTGAGAGAGATGATGATGAAACGATGGTGTAAGCCTCACTAACGTGTCATACGTGCACTTGGCATGCAGCGTCGACTTTTCTAACTTCTCAACTCGTGCACAACATTCAATTAATATGGGCATCAGTTGATGTTGCTCTAAAGAACATGACAAAGATCTAAAACACACATGAAGTCCAGCTTGGACCAGAATCGTTTGTGAAGGGTGCATCAGCTCGTTAGCTTTGTTTTTGCTGTTTCAACAATTTGGAAAATGTGTGTTATCTTGTTATTGCTCTGAGATGCTGAGTCCAGGGGTTTATCTGAAGCAAGCAGACATAAAGGTGCTTTCCTGTGTAAATAACTCCTCTTTTTTCTAAATAAATTGTTCCTAAGAGTGGCGACAACAGGGAAATGCAGCCGTACCATCACGAGCAGCACCTTAGATTTCTCTTGTGACGCACAAACAGGAAGCCCTCAGCGGGCCAATTAATACCGACAGAGAGAGCAGTCAGCGATTTCCTGTGAGACCTGCCAACTTCAGCAGCTAAAACCATCTCAATCTGGTTTCCATTACGACCACATTTATCCAGATTGCATCAGGCCGCATTTCTACAAATCTCTCAAAGCTCCTCTCATAAAGTAGTTACAACAGAGTGGGCATTTTGGTTAACAGCCTCTCAATAAAAGAACTGTCCCTTTAATGACTTTTCCATTAAACAGATTGAAAGTGTTTACTTTTTAACATAATTCAAAAGTTACAAAGATTTCGTTGGTTCTACTTAAAATGTGTTTGGCTTTAGTGTGGAAACTGTTCATCTGTCAGGATCATGTCATTGTATCCTATCAGTTAAGGTCTGAAGCCCAGACACTTCCACTAAATCCACTTCTTGGCAGACAAATTTATTAAAGGGCCCATCAATATGTAAATTGAGCAGAACTGGAAACAAATCTATTGGTTTTGGCAAAGTGATAATGTCACAGTCGTGCAACTCAGCAAGTGGGAAGGAGGAGTGGTTGGACAGGGAGGGGCAGAGTTATAGAGGTGAGCTGAAAGGAAAACAGTAGGTAAGGAGGGAGGGGGAGAGAGAGAGCGAGAGAGAGAGAGAGAGAGAGAGAGAGAGAGAGAGAGAGAGAGAGAGAGAGAGAGAGAGAGAGAGAGAGAGAGAGAGAGAGAGAGAGATGCAAATCCCATGGCAACAGCAACCAAAAAACAAGTCTAAAATAGGGGGCAGTGTCCGCTATCTCTATAGCAACAGGAGAGCAGCACACTTGCTCAGCTTTGGGATTTGCTGAAAGCAGAAAAAACAAAGCTTTAATTACAACATAATTAATGTTGATTGTCCCTTACAGTAACTTTGTTTAGATCAATCAGTTTTTCCCACTGCACTAGTCAGAAAAAAATGGTTTTAGAAGCATATATATATATACATATATGTGTGTGTGTGTGTGTGTGTGAGATCTTTATATTTATAGATTTGTACCACATTTAACTTTTATTCTAAATAAAAATGATCATAACTGCATAAAATAATTTAAAAAGGCTGTTTGTGTTGTGGAAACAGAAAAAAGTATCAGTTAATGGTGCTTGGAAAAAATATGGGTTTATTACAGGTAACTGCGTAATTTTTTTTAATTATTATTATTATTTTATTGATAATTCATCACTTCCAGCTATTCTGTCCTTCATAAATAAAAGTAAGTTTCAGAAAATGTTTGATAAAAACACTTTTAGGTCTGGAAACCTGGTTCACCTAACTCCACACCCGGTTTGTTTACATGAAACATGTGCACAGCCTGCAGTGCAGGGGGAAAAAAGACATCAACACAGTGATGGTTCGCCTTGCCTACCACTATCCAATCATATTTTAGACAGAGTCGACTCCAACCAATCACAGCACGTCAATCTGAGCCTGAACAGCCAATCAGATTGAGCGTGGATCACTGATGCAACGACAATGCAACAGCGGTCCTGCCAAATAAAGTGTGCTATGAGGCAAATAGTCCGTCTACAGCACAATATTTAACGTAGTATGATACCCTGTAGTAAAGTGTAGTGAAGTGCACATTAGGGAGCTGTAGTCATGAAAACAAGGCCTTGTCGTACCTGGTTATGGACATTAACAAGCAGCTGCGCACTGCTAAGCTAACGGTGCCTCATCCCTCATCACTATGGCAACAAAGATGAAACAGGTGGAACCCTTTACAGTAGCCACTTGGCCATTCTTACTACGTCATTAACATATGTAGAACTAGATAAAACATCTTAATTGCTTGTATATGTTGCACCTGTATTAAAATATAGAAAAGTTTTGTTTGTTTTTCTGTCGCATGTCTTCTCCTTTTGCGGCTACTGTCTGATAGTTATAACCTAAATTTCACCACTTTTAACAGCATTAAACAGTTGGAAATATAACTTTTAAAACAATAACAAAGTTCACCGGTTTGTTCCAGCGGCGGTGGGAGTAGTGGGACGTCCTTCGGTGATCCGCAGAGGGATGTAGGCAGGGGCGGAGGGATCCACTCCGGCTGAGCAACAACACTTTATTCCGGTGACGCAGTTGGTTGCTAGGTGTGAATGAACTGATGCTTTGTCTCAATTAAGCTCCTCCTCAGTTTACAGGTCGAACACAACAAAGCAGCATCTCTGTCCGTTTGCGTTGTCCCCGCTGTTCGGAGCTAAATTATGGCTCTTTGATTCCGTCTTGTTGCTGGACCCTGAAAGAAGCCCGTGCTTTGCTTTAGCAACGCACCCCCAAGAACTCTACAGTTTCTCTGCAAGAATGGAGTAAGTCAAACTCTTTCTGCTCACTTCTCAGCTGTCTCTGCGCTTTATTTTTAGTTGACATTGTTTGTTGCAAATACCTGATTTATTGAGTTTCGTTCACTGATTGGTTTATTTTCTACTGCATATACTGCATATTTAATTAAAGTCAAATGTTTGCCCTGCTGTTTTCTAAGAGAAGTGTTTGTTATTGTTATTGGTTTGTTTGTCTAAGACACTAAACTGTGTCTGCAGTCATCAACAGCCTTGTTAGTCATAAATGTAAATAAATGCCTTGCTTAATTCCTTCAGTGCAATTAAAAATCTACATTCTACCCCAAATAAAAACAGTGACAGTCTATTGATGTTTGGTCCTTTTCTGTAATCTGGAGTGATTATGTGATCAAAGAGAGGTGATTAATGTCAAAAGAACAAGGATTAGAAGCAGCTGATCTGCATTAATCCAATTTAACCACCAGGGTGCCTCTCACTTGAGAGACCTGGTTACTGTGGAGCTTCTTGTCAACAGCAGGGCCCTTGACAGCATAGCCGGGTCCCACGTGTGTTTAGGGTTGTGAAGTTCATTTTGCTTTGAGGCACTTTAGACTCCAAAGGACACCTCTGCCCCATCTGGATCCCTTATTGGTCCAATCTAATATTTGGTTTCTGGATCTGGTTGTTTTTGTTCAAGTGCAAGTGGCTTAAGTGTAACATCTGCATGTGTAAATTGTGTTATAAATATCACCATGAGAAGATATCCCATTGCTGCATGTTATCATGAAACTTAATCGCGCTGTAATGACTTCCTGAGGACTACGCAGATTGCTATCCATCAGTATAGTGGACAGGTCGTGTGTTTTAAGTCCCACAGCTCTCTGATCCTTGTTTTCGTTTACCCTCTAGGTTTCATTATGCTCACCCTGCCCTGCTCTCTGTGGCCCATCTGTCAGACCCCGCTCATTCTCAGCCTATGCCCGGACTTGGACTGAATCAAAGCGTCAGCAGACAAAATGATGGCAACATCGGCTCATGTTTGGAAGACTCTTCGTGTCTGCCCGGCAGACCCCCTCACTCTCTCTCACCCACAGGCTAGCCACAGCCAATCACAGGGGTGCAGGGGGGAGGTGTCAGAGGAGAGCCAGCACTTAATTGGTGAGTTGCAGCAAGTGCGTTTTTTTATATTTTTCCCCATTTCAGGTGGGCTCGGCACTGCAGCAGATTCGTCCTTCTTGAGCAGTAAGTAAAAAACTAGCTACGTCTGTTATTTCGACATTGGGTAACTCGATTAAATTCTTCTATGCATGTGCGATCATCAGTCAGAATATATCTTCACCGAATTTCTACTTGCACTACTAATAACTGTTATTTTCTTTTTGCATGAACGTAATTTTTCAGGTGTGACATTCTTTCCATCAATCGGTTTGTAACGAACACCTGTTTTCTCCTTCCACAATAGGTGATGGTCTCACTGACTGGATGACGGAAGAAGTGGATTTCTCCTCGTACCTCCCAAACCCTCCTTCCCCTCCCTCATCCACCAATGCCTCCCTTCCCCCTTCACCCCTTCAGAATGATATCCAGGTGCCCTCTGACTTGGAGGTCATGACCTCTTTGCTGCAAGAGGAACTTGCCCAACTAGAGGACTACTTCCTGTCTGAACCACTGCAAGAGAAAGGGCAGAGGTTGGGAAAATGCGACAGGGGTCCACTGCCGGCGGGTCCTCAGCCGTTCAGTCAACTGCCATATGCATCCTACTCCACGTCTAACCAATCGGATTCCAACCCTCTTCTTGTTACCCTGGCAACCGGAGAGCTGGACCTGCTGAGCATCTGTGGTGGGTCGATTGGGCGATCCAAGATTCCAAGACACACCCCGTACAGCTGCAGTCGCCCAAGTGGGTGTGGTAGGAAAAGAGTTGTGGACGGCGTTAGGTTCAGTGAAGGCTATGACAACAGCTTGTTGAGCTCCAAAGGAAGTAACTCAGGTATCTCTGCTGTGGCCCTTAACGGTAGTTACGGTTGTGTAGAGGATGATCAATTGGTTGGGAAAAGCTATTGTCTGGGTAGTACTATCGAGCTTAGAAGATGTGCCAGTTTACCCAAAGAAGAGAAAAACTGCTGTTTTACTCAAGATGTGATAAGTGGTGCAAAGGTCGTTGGTGGTGGTTTTGGCTTTGGTGGGTCTCCTGATGCCCAACATAAGAAGGAGGATGTGTTGATGTACAGCATGAGGGAGGTCAGTGGAGGCACCAGTAACAACGAAGTGCTGAGCAGTATCAAGACTAGCGTGGAGGTGACAAAAGCCACGGTGTCTTGGAAAAGCGACAGCAGCGACGGGTGTTATGTTCCTGCAGCGCCACAGGCTGAAGCCTACCATAGTTTCTTGGGAAATATCAATGAACAGGTGAAAACGGAGAGTCTCCAAATACTTCAGCCTGAGTTGCACTGTAATTACCTAGAGCATCAAGCCCCAGAATGTTTTCTGATGGCCAGAGAGAGTCTGAACCTGGACTCTCCAGGGCACAGGCAAGCCTGCAGGCTGAGGGAAGACCACTGCGCTGTGAAATACGAAGTGGACATCGTTCCGCACGAAGGAGGGGAGCGAAAACAAAAGAAAAGGGATCAGAACAAAACTGCCGCCCATAGGTAAATAGTTCACACTGGATGACTAACATTTATTTTGAAATAAAAAAAAAGAGGAATACACTTTTCCTAAAACCACTTTTTGCAGGTATCGCCAGCGAAAAAGGGCGGAGCTAGATTCTTTAGAAGAGCAACTGCATTGCCTCGAGGGAAGGAACCGGGAGCTGCGCGACAAGGCGGAGTCGGTAGAACGAGAGATCCAGTACGTTAAAGACCTGCTGATTGAAGTTTACAAGGCGCGCAGCCAAAGGCTCAAGCAGGACTCAACGGCATAGCAACGGTTTCCTGCAAGTACCGTACGATCCAGCCTCGCGGGAAAAACGTGTAGCCTTTAGTGTTTTTCATTTATGTTGAGAATTTATTTTATTCGTTATTATTTTTATGGTGTGAGGACAACTGCATGCTTTGCTAACGTAAATTATTTTCTACACTTTAAATCAACTTGATCTTCCATTGATATCACAGAAAAATCACTCGAGCCTTCACTGTGGCATTGCACCACATTTTACTGACAATCATTTTTAACAGATCTTCCTCTTTGTGAATTGACTAGTTTCATTTCCTTTTATTTTTAGAAATTAATGTAATTTACAAAGCAGGTTATATATTTTAATAGCCTTACATGAAAATTGATGTCAGCAATAGCCCTGAATGTTTTTTATTTATTACTTTCTACTTTCTTGTCTTAATTTATTTTATTTTTACTATTTCCATTCTCAGTTTTTGTATTCTAAGCTTTCCATTATCGTACAAATACTAAATCACTTAATCTATTTATCAGATTTACTGTTAAGAGGATCGCAAAAACAAACTCGCATAAAAAAAGAAAATCTCAAAACTGGCTTCATTCGTTTTTTAAAAATTGTTACAACTTCTGACTTTGTTTGAATCACCGCTTAAAATATTCTTGTTATTGAGATTTGTAAGAATTTCACCCTGCTTTTTAAGAAACGTTTATTTTAAATGTGTTTTCTTGTAACGGTTTCTTTTTTATGTAACAAATAAAACTACAGCAACATTTTTAGCAATAGTAACAAATCGTGTCCAATTTACTTGTGACCAAAACACAAATATTGTGTCCTTTACAGTTTTGAGGTGAAAACTGACAATTTGTTGTGACGATTCTTCTCTTGCTTCTTTTGTAGTGAATGAATTGTATTTCCAGCTCAGGATTCACATTTATCTTCCAGATGGAGATAAACTGGAAGCTCCTCAGTTCTTCATCTTTATGTGGGAAAGATTTAACATTTTCCCAGTTGGAGTTTTACATCTGTGCAAATATTACAGGTTTTTGTGTTTTAGCCTCTGCATGCGTTTGCATTAATGTGCTCTTTCTGAAATAGAATAGTGAGAATTATTTCTCTGAACTGCTTAAGGTAATAAGAATTTTAGCCTACAGCTAATCTGCACTAATTTCTAACAATTTTTTTATTTTTCGAGGAAACAAATGTGTTTTTTTTTTACTTTTTGAAAACTTTATTTGAAGATTATTTTGTAATTTACTAATTATGTCAGTAGAATTTTTTTCTTTGCACATTTATTTATAGACAATCTTGACTATTAGAGCCGACATGAGTTCATGTGTCTGTTTTTGTCTAAAAGTTCACGTCAGGATGTTTTTAAGCCCTGCGGTGTACTATCAATAAAACAAGTTGAAACCAAAAATGCAACATATGTTATGCTTTGTGTTTTAACTTTTATTGTTCACACTTTTCTTTTGTTTCATGTAAACTTGCTTCTTTACAAAAAGGAAAATAAAGTGTGACACGGACTGGTCGGTGTTTTTTTTTTTCTAAGAACCAACTGAAAAGGCAAATAAAATCTAGTTTTTCAATGTAATTGTTTATTTAGACTTGAAAAGGCTACCATCTTCTGACCTAGCGCTGAAAAAACAAACATGAATAAATAATGTGAAGTCGATATTTTTATCAATTGCAAATCTTGGTCAATCCTCCTGTTTTCACCAATCACACCTAAATACCTTCCTGACTAACAATTATTGCAAAAAGCTTTACAAGCTGTCCAAATCTCAGCTGAACGCCACTAAAATCTGTTTAAAAATTACCACGTTTTTGCGTTTTTAATTAAAAAACACAATCTGTTGATTCAGCTGTAGCATTAACGAACAAAAACATGTCTTTATTGTTTTATTGTACATTTATTTAGAGTGAAAAGGAAAACTGTAAGCAACGGTAAAACACTTATCTGATTATGAACATATGGTTTACTACGGAAAGTGAGATATTTGAACTTTCTCTTTAACTTCTGGTGAACTCCTAAATCTTCCCAGGAAGCTGCTGACAGTCACGCTGTGGAGGAGCCTGATGAGATGCCTGAGAAAGTTTCTCATTGGCATCAAGGGATATCAGGACCTTTGGAGAAACATTAAAAGTTAGAAAATAGTTTTAATTAGAGCAATAATAATACATTTGAAAATAAAAAAAGTTTTCACTCTAAGAATGAAAATAATACCATCCATTAGGCTGCTGTTTTTTTTTTACCTGGCGTGTTGCATCCTGCTGGCGGAACAGATCCAGAGTCCTTACGGCAGCTTGCCTCACTGCATTATGGGAATCTGTGCATGCCGCCCTGAGCAGTAAGCTGCAGATATCTGTCTCCAACACTACAGACACAGCTCCATCCACATGCACCAGGTTTCCCAGCGCTGCACAGCTGTGACGCCGTGTAACGGCATCAGGGTCAGAGAGTAGACTCGCCAACATGACCGCTGCCCTCTTAGTTTCCTGCGTCCATCTTCTTCCCTCCATCTCATCATCATTGTGATCTTTTGTTGCCAAACCAGTGGCTGCTTCGGTACGTGAACACACAGGTTCCTTATGTTGCTTCTTTTTATGCGACTCTGGAGTGTCAGTGGATTCCCTGAAGGACCAACTGGTTTTAAACACTGTCCCTGATGCAATACAGCCCAGCCAGTTCCCAACAGCCTTGCAGGCCATTCGCCGCATCGGCATGCAGGAACCATTAAGGCAGTCTATCATGTGCTTGAAAACATCAAGCTGCAGCGTGTCTGCTGCAGAAGGCTTGAACAGATCTAAATTTCCCAGAAATCTGCATGTAGCAGCCTTGATCTGGTCATACGAGTGAGTCAGTGCCCGCTGCAGCACGGAAGACTCAACATGCACCTGAGGGCAGGCAGGCTGACGGGAACAACGGGCCACATGGGACAACAGATTTAGGAGCTCCACGGCGGAGTCCCATAGCACATTGATCTGCAGCAATTCAGAGAGGAGAGAGCTGGCTGTCCTGGTTAGAGTCTGACCGTCCTGCGGCAATGAGAAGAACCCAGAGGCAGCTTCTCCGAGGTGAGAAACGGAGCGCTCAGCGTCACACAGGAGCAAACGGCTCAGCAGGGAGAGAGGCAGCTCGAGTAAAGCAGGAGGAAGTGTTTGAATTACCTGCAACACCATGAAAAAAATCACTAAGAGGGCTTGTCACATGTCAAACTGTCAATAAAAAAACACCACAATCCTGCCCCAGAAGTACAAAGCCATCAAAATGTACACCAGTGCATGTCACACATTAGCACTGGGCAAGAGTTTTCCTGTGTTGCATCAGAGGTTTATTATATTTACCCATCAGTCAGATTTGGATCAGAGCATGAGAAAAGGCCCTAACCTGCAGGAGGCTTGACACAATCCCACAGCTATCGTACAGCTGCAGAACGGTGGATGTGGTGTGTGACGGCAGGTCCAGGGCAAAAGGAAAACACAACAGGTGGCAGCTCAGCGAGGACAGACTGTAGAAACTCGGCTCTATGTCAGCATTCCCAGGAGGGTCGTCAGTAGACACTCTGAGACTGTGGAGTAAAAATGCTGCTGCTGTCAGCTGCAGGCGTTGCAGCTTTATAACATTTTGCTTAATTATGCTAAAGTATCTAAACACTAACCAATCAGGGGCCAGCAGCCGCCCCAGTGTGTGTACACATGTTGAGCTGTTCTTGGTGAAAAGAGGAACACATGAGTGTGGATCCTTGGTGAAGAAGAACAGCACGACGCACAGAAAGGAGTACAGCCCTGAAACAGATAAATGTTCCTTTTATTTTACTTTAATTATTAAAAAAAAATTTAGAGTTTGTATTTTTTACCATTTGCTGAAAAAAAGTCCAGTTTTGGTGTTGTGCTTCGAAGTGAGGAGTCGATCTTCTTCCACACAGCAACAAACACAACTGGATCTAAAAGAGGTGAAACTGAAGCATCTTCATGCTGCTGGGGAAAAACAGGAACAGTGCGTACAATTAATATGGTTTAATGTCTGAAATCCAGTCAGCAAAGGTTTCATCTCATTTCAACCTCATGGAGAGTGTGTAGAAGTAAGGACAGAAGGCCGTCACACACTCCCCAACCAGACGGTAGTGAAATCTGTGGCTGACACAGAAAAAAGAAAATGATGTAAATAACTGAAGGTTAATTAAACTATTACGAAAAACATTTAGAACAAGAAAATAAAACCTTGTATGAGTCCAGAAGAAGAGTTTTCAGCAAGGAGGTTAAATTCCCCAGATCAAAAAACACATCGACATCATGTTGAGTGAAGAGAGACAAGATGGAAGCGGCCACAGGCTAAAACAAAAACACAGAAACCAGCTGGATCACAGAACATTCTGTCACGTTAGGATAAAGAAGAACGTTAAAGTCACGTCGACTCACAGCCACGGGGAGGAGGTTTGGTTTGTGAAGGATTGTGATGAAGGGCCTGGTGAACTCCTCCAGTCTGGATGAGAGCAGATACTGAGAGTCAGCCTGTAAAAGAGCAGAACTAATAAAAACAGACCACTCATCCCACCTGGGCACTTCTTCCACCCAGTCGCTGTGATTCTCCCAGTAGATCAGAAGCAACGTGCTAATTTCTCCCAAGACCGGCACGATCTGCTGATGCTGAGGAGAGAACGAGCAAAAAAATCAGACGTTGATGGACAAATAATGTGTAGTTTCGTTATCGAGCAGCAACCTTTATGAAACTGGAGTTTTCCACAGAGCCTCGGATCAGGTCAAAGAGGATGTGAGGTAGCTCGAGCTCACGGCTGATGTGGTGCAACTTCTCCGTTTCAGGAGTCAGTATGAAATGACGCAGGACCTTCAGGGGTGGAAGAATCCGCTGCACCTCTGGTAAAACTCCACCTGTTAGCTGAAGAAACAAAAATAGTTTCATGCTAAAATGCTTTTAAAACCCTTTTGTTTATGTCAAAGTACAGCTTTGCACCTGAGCTTGAAATGCTGCGATTTCAGATTTAATTTGAGATATGATGTCACCGTAGTTCAAGCGTTTTGTCTGCTCCCCGCTGGGATCTGATTCTTGCACGAGATTCTCCCACATTTCCTTCCTGTCAACATCCTGAAAGAACAGGAGGTGACAGATCCTTCCAGGCACATTTCTTCAACACAATTTCCTTTCTTGTTATTTATCAAAGTAAACGAGCACCAGGAAGGAATTAGCAACTGAAATAGACTATTTTTTATTTATCCTTAGAAAAATTCACCACCTGTCTGTGACTCTGATTGTCTTTATTGGATCGTCTCACCACTCGTGGCCCGATCTCCACGGAGGGAAACTCCTGCTCGTAGTCCCTGCTGATCTGTCCCCTGCAAACACAACGACCACAAATAAGAAACTTTTAGATGTTTTAGTACGTGGGTCATCTTTATTAAAGCTTAGAAACAACACCTTTGTTTAGATCTTGTGCAATCCTGACTCCTCAGACTCATTTTTTCTTTGGCAGCTGCTGAGACAGATCCATCTGAGGGCTCAGGAACTTCTACAAGAGGGGTCTTGTGGCCTTTCAGTGTGTTAGCGGTTTGATTTTCATCCATATTTTTCTCCTAATGAACACCAAACAGGTTAAAAGCTCCTCCATGATCTTCAAATGAATTTTTGATCCCGACACAAAATAAACCACCTTCTCATCCACCGGTTTCCTTTTGCTCGCCATCTGCTCCCGGACCTTTCGTAGTAATCGGCTCTCTCCAGATCCTGGTAAAGACTTTTCTGCCACTTGCTTGAGTTTGAGTGCCAGCATGTCTGGGCTGGGCAGGACCGTCAGAGGGTTGAAGACGTTTTCCTCCGACAGCACTGTCAACACAGCAACACAGAAACAAAACATGAACAAACATGTGAAAATGGTGCAGTGCTACACAAATAGTAATTTCAATAAAATGCTTAAAAAAACAATGTTAGCATCACCTAAAACTCCATCAGCGACAAAGGGATGATGCAGGAGGTGTGGCCATGACAGCCGCTTCTGAGGGTCTTTGGTCAGCAAACCTTTCAGGAAGCTCTGTGAAGGAGGTTCAGTAAAAATAATAATGATAATACATGATAAAAAGCAAAATGCACAGTAAAAACACCCATAACACTATAAATACCAAAATGCACTGGGTCAGACAGCATTGTCACAAGATGGGGCACCTCTTGTGAAGTCAGGGCAGACCCTGCAGTCTTATATATCAATATCTATATATATCAATATATATCTATATCTATATATCAATATATATCAATATCTATCTATCTATCTATCTATCTATCTATCTATCTATCTATCTATCTATCTATCTATCTATCTATCTATCTATCTATCTATCTATCTATCTATCTATCTATCTATCTATCTATATATATATATATACATATACATATATATATATACATATATATATATATATATATATATATATATATATAAATATATATCAATATCAATATATATATATATATCAATATATATATATATATATATATATATATATATATATATATATATATATATATATATATATATATATACATTGGATGTTTCTGACCTCTAAATAATAAATCTGGTAGCGATGCACAGAATTGAAAATTTTGCGCCCATACCGATATTAATATCACTGATATGGCCGATAACCAATATTTGCCAATACCGATATGCTGACATACTGACATTAATGCTTCTAAAATCAGCAGATTTTGTATAAAATGACATTTATTAAAGCTGAATTTAAGTTATTATGTACACACAACACACACATTTACAGTTCTGAGATGATTTCATTCACTATTCACATTACGAAAAAATTACATATCACCCCCCTCACCCACTGAAACAGGCAAACAAATGGAAACGAGATAGAAAAAATATTGGTTGTTAATATCGGCCCAGTTTTATTTATCGAACCGATACCGATATGTTAAAAAATGAGTAACATCGGCCGATACCGATATTGATGCCGATATATTGTTCATCCCTAAAATCTGGTAAGCAGATAATCATACTTATTGTTTACAAACGTGTTGGGCAAATTTGAACCTATAAAATCTAATAATCTTAACAATCTGCTTATAAATCAAAACCTTTACAGCTTCCCTCCTTTATCACTTGTTTAAAAAACCCTAATTTAATTTGTTTCTGTTCAACATGAACTATTGACTTTACCATGCAAGTGTCGCTCATAGTATGAGGCCATTTGACCTGATCTCTCACTATAAGCTGCACCAGGTGGAAGATGGAGTTAGTGTAGAAAGGTGGCGCCCCCGTGTGGAGCTCATACAGGATGCAGCCTAGAGACCAAAGATCAGCTGTGTGGTCGTAGGGCTTCTCCTGGACCAGCTCCGGGGACATGTACAGCGGAGTTCCTTTGATGGACGTCAGGACCAAAGTAGAGACGCTGATGGCTCTAGCAAATCTGCAGAAAGATTTAAGTGTGATTCATTCTTCTTAGGAATCCAAACATTTTGGTAACATTATAACAGTCAACCCACCCAAAGTCACAAAGTTTCACCATTCCATTTTTCCCAAGCAGGATATTCTGTGGTTTCATGTCACGATGAAGAATACGATGGGAGTGTAAGTAATAAAGAGCTGAGACCAGCTGGCAGGCGATCTCTCTCACCTTGGAAAAGGAAACTAATCAATATCCATCATGTACAATCAACCTTCACAGATTAGGGTGTTAGTGTCTGACCTGTATCTCTGGCAAGTGTCCATCATCCTCCAGAATCTGGAACAACTGTCCCTCTGCATACTCCGTTACAACTACGACCTGTTCCAAAGAAACAATACATACTTGCAAAGACTAGGGATGCATAATATATCAGGACCAATATCAGTGTCGCCCAATGGTAGCCATGTTTTAACACATCTGTATCGGTCCGATATGTGAAACTTGGCCGATATTAACAAACAATATCTTTTTCCCATCTAGTAGTCATCTGTGTATGAGTTTCAGAAGGGGAGGGGGCGATAATGTGTAATTGTTTGATTATACCACAGTGATATAAATGTGTGTGGTGCAGATATGTTATATTATACATAATTCTTATATTTGAGGTGTTTATTGGCAATTAGATATATCAACATACAGGGGAGATGATAAAATATCTTGTGATACTAAAAGTCAGAGATAAGTCATTTTTTGACTCAACTTAGATGCAAAATTCAGACCAGATGCCTCCAAGTGTGTCTAGTGTTATCGCAAGATTTTGTTGCTCTGTCAGTTAAAAACTGTTGCCACCTAGCAGTTGGGGTTTGAATGCATCACACAAAAGAAATATAGTAAAAATTTGCATCTAAATTATCAATAAAAAATAATACACTGCTTTAAAATACTGATTCAGTATCATTACACAAAATATTACAATATTTCAGCCTGTTGATACTTTCGTACATTCCTACTTATATACATCCATCCATTTTCTTCTACTTATCCGGAGTCGGGTCGTGGGGGCAGTAGCCTAAGTCGAGAGGCCCAGACTTCCCTCTCCCGAGCCACTTGGGAGCCAAGGTGTTCCCTCACCAGGTGAGAGACATAGTCCCTCCAATTTGCCCTGGGTATCCCTTTAAGCTTGGTTTATGCTTGATGCATTTACTTTCCGCTTGGTGATGCGGCTCGCGGATGGAACGCGCTTCACAACTCGCAGCGTTTATGGTACGTGCAGCTCATCTCTGCGGTGAGCCAATATTCTCCCAAACTGCAGGGGGCAGCATGGAGCTCTACGGCATGCATACAACACTACACCATAGTAGAAGTAGAAATTACTGTTTACAACATGGCATTTCAGCATTTTTAACAGCGTCCTCGTCTTTTCCGACAGTGCGAGCTATTTCTCTCCACGAATTATTAAACAACATGTTGATCACGGTGATCTCTGAGAGCTGAATCATACAAATGTCTGTATTTACAAACCTCTGCCATACTACTTCTTGTCAGTCCACCATGGTTTTCCGCGTCCATCTGTCTGCATGGTTAGAAATTTTCCGAGGAGCGCGTTGCGGAAATTTTGAGCAGTGCGAAGACGCGGTGGAGGGGCGTGGTTGTTAAAATGACGCAACTTTTCCGCGCGGACCTTCAAGCATAAACCAACCTTTAGGCCTCCTCCTGGTTGGACGTGCCCAGAAAAACTCACCAATGACGAGAGGAGCAGCGGCTCTACTCAGAGCCCCTCCCGGATGACCGAGCTTTTCACCCTATCTCTAAGTTAGAGCGCAGCACTCTGCGGAGGAAACTCATTTCGGCCACTTGTATCCGCGATCTAGTTCTTTCGGTCACTACCCAAAGCTCGTGACCATTGGTGAGGTTAGGAACGTAAATCATCCGGTAAATTGAGAGCTTTGCCTTCTGGCTCAGCTCTCTCTTCACCACGACAGACCGCATCACTGCAGACTCAGCACCATTCTGCCTAGCGGTCTCGCGCTTCAGCTTTCCCTCGCTCTTGAACAAGAACCAAATTTATTTTAATGTAATATTAATTACTGGGTATAACAACGATATTAATATCGGATATCAATATCGGCCCACGTTTTCATATTGGTGCCTCCCTAAGGACATTACATTCCCCAAATAAAGTTTAGTGTAAACTAGACCATGCGTGTTTTAAACAGAAAGTTATCATCATACCTCAGTTTCAGTCTCAAAACTGTCAAAGAACTGAACGATATAAGGATGCTGAAGACCCCTCATAATTTCTATTTCCCTTTTGAGACTCCGTAGCTCTTTTTCAGAACGGTCCACTTTAGGCATGAACTTCAGAGCCACCACCTAACGAGGAAAAGCAACTCACGGTGAGAAAAGCACAGACGAACAACGCATGAACTTTACGTTCAGATAAACGCGTACTTGGCCGGTAAATTTCTTTCTTCCCTTGTAAACTCGACCAAACGAGCCTTCTCCCACCAGCTCCAAAACATCATACGAGTTCATTATGACGACTTCCAACGGAAAAGAAAAACTCAACAGCAACGATGTAAGTTGGTCAAACAACTACACGTTTTTACATTTCTTGGTCCATATTTGCACAAACTTATATTTAGATGCCAAATTTTTAAAATAAAAGTGCGAGAGATATTTCTATCGACTAATTTCAACGACTTTTCTACTTCAGAGCGGCTACAGAGCGTGCAACGTAAAAATCATTACATGCTGCCCAACGTAACTGCCTGTTCAGAAAATAAGTAATAAAAGAAAAGCAATACGGAGTAGTTAGACTTAATGTACATGCAAAATAAATTTAACACGCATGGAATTTTCTTTACTTATAAAAGAAAAAGTACATATAATTTAGTTATCATTTAACACTGAAGTGCTAAAGTAAATCAGGCGTTTCTTTAGACGACTAACAAACCGGAGTCCTTAGCCTAGCAACGGTCGTTGCGTTCCTAGCAACAGACGTAGAATGGACAACAAAAGAAACGCATCAGGTGTTACATCGAAAACGGTCTCTGCACGGAAGATTGTTTTTCTTGATAAAATAAACCCATTGAAGACTAAACATCTCAACGTACTGAATCAGTAATTCACAAATGTGTGACGTTATTGTCCCACAAAACAACAAAAAACGAGGTTATTTAGGCTAATGATGACATCATGATGTTTTCCGTGCTGAAATTAAGAGTTTTCTTTTAGCAATTTTCTTAAACCAATTATCAAATAAAAATGTTCGATATCTCGTTGTGGCATCTTTTGATCAAAACAAAAAACAGTTTCTATATAATTATTGAAAAAATAAGATTTACAAGCTTAATAAGTGATCAAATCAATGAACAGAAGAAATAGTTTTTACTATTATCTAAATCTTTGGTGTTTTCTAATTCCAATTATCATTTATCTTTATTTTGTGATAATTAGTTGTTCTGTTTCATTACAATTTATGACTTTATGACTTGTTTATTTATTTTTGTAAAGCACTTTGTTATTTTTCGTTTTGTGATAAGTGTTTTAGAAATAAACTTTACTTACTTACTTACTTACTATTAAATGGTTTCTGACCTGTCTTACAAACCCTAAATCAAAAGCATGATCAAGAATAAAAAGTAATACAATTGTAATAAAATTAATGCTATTTTTAAATGAATAAGTGGAATTATTTTAAACAATATGTTTTACCCTATAAGTAGCTACCTTATACTTTAGGGTGGAGATAAACAAGTGAACCGTTTATCAAATATTAATTTCTCCTTTATAATGCTGATATTATTGTAATAAAAACCACTATTCATCCATTCATCACAATACCGTTGTGAGCCTGTGTGTGTGTGTATTTGTTAGTGGCTCCGCCCTCTCGGTCTGCCAGGCAAAAACATTTGTTGCATTTTTCAAACATGAAGTGGGAGTGGAGTAAGACTCTGTAGGGGGTGACTTGCTCTTTAAGTTCCAGCACCTCTTTATAGCCTAGAAATCTGGACTGACAGAAGCAGCAAAAATTATTTTCCTCTGCATGTCTCCCAAACAGGATGGCTTGCCAGGCTCTGCTTGAGTTTCTATCTGTATTTGCGTCCCATTGCGAATGTGGCACTGGGGCTAAACCTTTCAATTTTTTTGTTGTCCACCAGATGTCGTGAGTGGTTCACACACGAATAAACTGTGTTCCATAAACTCCTAGACATAGAATAGAATAGAATAGAATATAATCGATTATACAGTGGAAATTCACACACACACACACACACACACACACACACACACACACACACACACACACACACACACACACACACACACACACACACACTTCAGATACAATTGCGGTCAAATTGTGCCATAACTTTAAATCCCACCCTGGAAATAACAGGGACACTTGGCGCTGATGTTACTGGTGTTATAAAATAATCTGATATTTTAGCTTTATTGTGTCACTTCCGATGGGGAAAATGAGACTGCTGTGAGCAGAGAGTCCGCAGCTGCTTTGCGCATCCACTGCGCGCCTTCAGAGACCCCCCCCCCCCCCCCCCCCCCCCACACACACACACACACACACAACAGCAGAGGTTGTGTTTCCATATTTTCACACATGACGGAAATACATAAAGTCCGGAGAAGGCATCAGTCGGCTCAGTCCTCACAGGTGGAAGATGGAAACGGGTCATGACCGGGAGGAGTTTTCTCTAAGTGGACTCGAACAACCGGCGCTGTTTTAGGACTCTGCTCTTTGGATTATGCTCTCCATCCTGATCTGTGGGTTTTACCGCCGATCTTAGATTAGATTCATTTGGACGCCGCTCTTTGCTGAATGCAAACATCGTCATGTTTGTCAGAACAACCTTCCTCCTCTACTTTGTGCTGTCACTCTTGACGTTGACTTGTAGCATGGAAAGTGAGATTTGCTTTCCGATAAGACTGGATCACAGCGGCAGGAGGGATTCTGACAACGACGTAGACACCAGTGATAGAAAATTAGCCATAAAGTTAAAAGCTTTTCAGCAGGAATTAGTCATTGATTTGCAGCAAGATTCCAATTTTATTGCGCCTTCCTTCTCTAGCGAAGACGCGTTTTGGCTTCCTGGCGCCAGCGGCGACCTGAGCCGGTGTTTTTACGCAGGATACGTAAACGGTGACCCAAACTCTTATGCGGCTTTGAGTCTCTGCAAAGGATTAAACGGTGCGTTTGGCTTTCAAGGCTGGGAATATTTCATCAGCCCCGTGCGAAATGACACCCGGGGCGCGCAGGCTGCGCACACCATCCGGCGCAGAACCAGCCACAATCTCAAGCGTAGCGCGACATCTAGGTGCGCGGTGGACACCGATTTGAGTCTCTCAGTTGCGCAATCGCTGGAGAAATACAAGCAGCTGAAGGACTACAACAATGTAACAGAAACAATGCTGCAGAAGATGAAGATGGGGAGAGCCAAAAGGTTCGCCTCGGTGCCCAGATACGTGGAGACGCTCGTGGTGGCGGACGAGTCCATGGCGCAGTTCCACGGAGATGACCTGAAGCACTACCTCCTGACCCTGATGTCGGTGGCAGCGAGGCTCTACAGGCACCCGACCATTCTGAACTCCATCAGCATCACAGTCGTGAAGATCATGATCATATCCGAAGAAGACAAAGGACCGAAGGTGTCTGGGAACGCGGCCATGACGCTTCGGAACTTCTGCACCTGGCAGAAAAAGATGAACAAAAACAACGACAAGCACCCTGACTACTGGGACACAGCCATTCTTTTCACTAGACAGGTAAACAGGAACCAGTTCACCTTCTGTAACAGCAGCTCTGTTCTGATTTGGCACAGGCGCGCGGACGTGGGCCGGTGCGTTAGTGATGGTTCCCAATGTTTGGCTCCAAGCCCTACTTTGGGTCGTCCAACACTATACTTCTGTTTCTTGTGAAGATTTCTAGTGAAACTAATCTCTTACGTATTCATTCATAATACAGAGTTTACGTTTGTCTGTAAGTAATGAAAGCTGAAGCTGTGTTGTGACCATATCCTGGTGTATTTCATCTTCACCAGTGTGTTTGGTAATAGCTGATGATGTTGGTGTTTTTCTATGGGTCAGGAAGGTTTGGGAGCTGTTCCTTCTAATCCATTATGTTATTACTTTATTTCTATTGCACTAAAACACACTTACCCAATGACATCACAGATTTGACTCTATTCTACCCCCCCCCCCACACACACACACACAAAATAAACAAATACATAAAAGAAAAAACTAACAAACTTAAATGATCTTTGTGGGTTTTATAAAGTCAGAATCCACTCTGACTTATTTATGCTGCTGTCACCACGTCATGCTGGTGACAGCGTGTTTGAGCTCTAATGAGCATCAGTGCCTTGGGGATGCGCTTGTTGGATGTGTCTTGTTTGCCCTGATCCTCTGGTTGGGGGTTTCCAGCCCTTCCCACCACCCCACATCTTATTAAACTAGCTTCTTAAAGGAGGACTGGGTGGGGTTAGAGGTGGTGCCTTACATCATGGCCACATCCCTCCTGCTCAAGAGGATATATTCATTACCAGCTGCAGCTGCATCTTTAGACACAAAAATGTTCCTGGAGAGTAAACACTGGATGTGCGTCTAGCCTAGGAACGTTGACCGTGACCTTGTTTTCCGCTGAAAGTGAACCAAACTGAAAATCCACACACTGGGTCACAGGGTTTTTGACTCCACATAGAGCTGATGTTATAAACTCTACAGCCAGTTCAGATGACCCCAGTAAACTGAACCAGGCCTGTCTTCAGTGAGTCATGTGGATATAATTTGCTGTAAAGCAGAAAGACAGGCACCATGGGAATTCCATCGCTGTTTCAGTTCATATTGACCTCATCTGCATTAATCAGAGGTTTCATTAGAGAAAAAAAGCAAGAAAACTTCTCTTCTGTGGGCCAGACTGTTATGTCTGAAAAAAGCAATGATGGAATTTAAATGAAGCTCATAGAAACCAAGGTTATTTAAAGCTGTTACAGAGCAGTTTTTACAGCAAACGCCTTTGTTTGAGTACATTTTGGTGTCATTTAAAGATATGTAAAGTCACTGTTAAAGTGCAGCCCCTAGCTAAATGACAAGAGCATCAGACTCCCTTTCATCACTCGCAACGAGTGAAGAGGTAAATGTGTAAAACTATGTTTATGAATGGAAAAAGTTTTGTAATCGTCTGTTACAAAACAGTAAATGCATTTTGTCCTCATGGGCTCCCGTAGAAGCCCAGAGACTTAGGCCCAATCCCAAAACTTGCACTGCGCCCTATTACATACCATAGCAGGTTTATTTTTAAAGCACATTTAAAACAGCATGACAGCTGACCAAAGTGCTGTACAGTAGTAATAAAAAGGAAAAACCCCAAGATAAAAACAAGATGAAAATCATATATGAGATTAAAGGAATAACCTAAAATTTTAAAGAAACTTACTAGAGTAAACAACAGTCACAATAAAAACATAAAAACAACAACATTGATCAAGAGCTAAATGATAGAAGTAGGCCTTCAGTACAGACTTGAATCGACCCAGTTCTGGGGCTTGTCGGACACTAAGGAGGAGAGCATTCCAGAGTTTAGGAGCAGCGAATGCAAAGGCCCGCTCCTCACGAGATTTATACTTCATTTTTGGGATGCACAAAAGCAAATGATCTGCCGATCTCAGGTTTCTGGTTGGAGCATAAGGCATGAGCAGTTCTGACAGATAAGCAGGGGCTTGACCATTCAGGGTATTGTAAACAAAGGTCAAAACCTTAAACTGGATGCGGTATTTAACAGGCAGCCAGTGCAAGCGTGCAAGGACAGGTGAAATGTGACAGCGTCTCGAGGTGTTTGTCAGGAATCTATAGCCGCTGCATTCTGTACTCCCTGAAGACGCTCAATTGCTGAGCATTTTTAATAAAGTTAAAAAAAACTTTATTAACAACTTTCAAACAAACAACCAAACAGTTATTTAAAATATATTTACATTCATTGCTGCTTTGTCAGCATCAATGAATCGTCTTGAAATGACCTACTTTCATTTGAAAATATGTATTTTCAGAAAAGGCGCTTGAGCCTTTTCTCCCACAGCAATGGATTGTGGGTAATACACTTCACCCAAGTCCACACTGATGCAGACTTGGGTCAAGGGCAGATCAAGGGTGCAAAAGGGGTGTGATCAATTTCTGCACTTGAGAATCAGGACACCCTACACACTCGCTCCCCGGGTGGGGATTAAAGGGTGCAAGTGTGGAAAGGCGATTATTGGGATCGGGCCGTAGACTAGCTCCAATGAATTTTAGACCTGATTTTTATGGTTATATGTTACAAAGCTGCCAATATATATTTTTTTCTTTTCTTTTCAAACAACTGGGCATCACTTAATTCATTTTCATCAACTTTTTGATAGATGTTTCCAGAAATTAACAGTAAAAACAACGCATTATCTCCTCAATGATCACCTTCAGGAGCCAGCGTGTACAGGTCTGTTTTGAGCAGTGCAGAAAGAGAACATCAAATATCAGTTTTCATCAGACAGAAGTGCACGCACAGCTGTCGGATGTATTCGACTACATCCTTCATCGCTCAGGACTGAAAATTCTTCCATCCCAGATTTTTGCTTTTAGACATCAAACAGTGTCTTTCATGCAACGCCCAGCCATCAGACCACAGTTCATCTCTAGTGAATTTGTGTCATGATGACTATAAATGAGTCCACTAAGTCCATGTGTTATTTTGCTGTTTACAGCGTCTTTAAACTGGGATTCATTGTGTGCCGTTAACCAGCCTACAGTGTAATTTTGCAGCTTTTATGAAGACCAACTTGACGATGTCCAGAGGCAACTGTGGTTGTGTTTAAATTCAACAAACAGCCTGATTGCTGTGAAAGAATGTTGCAAGATTAGTCAGTTCATTATGCTACACAGAGCGGCCAAAAGATTAGATCTAACTATAAATCTGCAAGTTTCCCTAGGGAACGAGGCTGTGCTTGCACTCTGCATCGTGACAGTGGGCTGAGAAACAAAGAAAAGGTCCGTGTTTGGATGCTTTAAACCTCGTCTGATAATAAAAACAATGTCATAAAAGCCTTATAGGTGTTAAAGTAGAGAGGAGTTAAAGGCATCTTGACAGATATGAGAAGTAGGTCAGGAGAACAAACTCCCTGACATGGCCTTTTCTTCCCTCCTGCTCATCTCGCTGCTTTTATTTATTTTTTTACTCGACTGGCCCAAGCTTTCGCATGTCGTCTCTGCACATGAGCACATCTGGACTCCATTTGCACCGGTCAACAAATGTGGTTTTCGCAGTTTATTCTTGGAATGATTTGACAAAAGCAGTCAAGGTCTTCACTTGGCACCACGTTTCATTGTTGCATGCAGTACAGCAAAGGATCATGGGGGATGTTTGAGATTAAATTGGCTGCTCGTTGCCCGTTTCCGTGCTTTTGGAGCCGTGGAGTGCTGGAGGGTTGTTTTTGGGCCACGTGTGGTTCTCTGTGGCATTTAGAGCTGGGTTTGTCCTGTGATTATGGGGTTCAGGTCCAAGTGGACACTGGCTAAGGCTGGGTTTTTGTGGTAGAGAAATAGGTCGTCTGGAAACTGCTCTGCCATGGAAATGTTACGGCTGGGGACACTTACATTACCTCATAGACGAAGGTGTGCTCCAAACACCGTCGACTTAAAGACTGGGCGGAGTCAGACAGCTCTGCAGCTCGGGATGGTTTAATAATCTTTTTAGTGGTCTAACGACCAAAGTTATTCCAAAGATCTGTCATCAAAGTAACTTCACTACAGCCTGTTTCACAAAGAGGTAACTGAGCCAAATGAGTCACATTTCTGTTATTTCTGACCTTTTCACACGGAATGGGGGTTTTGTGCAGGCTGCTAAACATTACAAACGTTTCAAAGACAGAAATCAAGCTGCACCAAACCTACTGGTTAAGGCTTGACCCCGGACCACGTCAACAGGATTCATCAGTTGGTTGCTGATGTGTCACGCAATAGAGGGGTTGGACCCAACCATGCACACTTAGGATGAAAAAACAAAGAGGAAAAGATGTGTTGGTAATAAAAGAAGCAACACGCGACAGGAAATGAGAGACAGTCCATGTGGCAGGTGGAGAAAGCAGGGAGTACACACACAGGAAGGAGATTACTGAGTGCCTAAAGGTGTAAGAGGCTACTCAGCCTCCGTCTTTGGGAAACAATCAACACTAGAATAAGCTGAAACTGAAAACAAAGCCAAATAAATTAAGAACAAGCTAAAAAAACACATGGCATTTTCAGCGGATCCTTGGAACATCTTTTGAGTAACCGAGGCCCTAAAATGCCTCAAATTAAATTGACAAATTTACCAAAAATCTATTTGCCAATATTTTATTGGGCTTTGCTAATCCAAGGACAGCGAGTCTCTAGGTGTGTCCTTTTCCATAAATCCAGACGTTAAACTCAAATTATAGCACAGCCATCTGTCAAATAGTGCTGATGCTCTTTTGAAAGTAAAATACTTTTATTTTACTCATTGAGCCAGGGATGGTGCTTCCTTCCAATTCCAACTTTCTATTATTTATTATTGTTTAAGGGGCAGAATTAGAATTGAAGTAATAAGTCGTTGAGTTTTACCTTCAAGAACAAGTAGAAAATCTTTAGTTTTCAGCTTTTATTTCTGCTAAGTGGTTGTACTTCCTGTTGTTTTAATGCAGGATCTTTGTGGAGCGTCGACCTGTGACACCCTTGGGATGGCAGACGTTGGCACCATGTGTGACCCGAAGAGAAGCTGCTCTGTGATTGAAGATGATGGTCTGCCGTCCGCCTTCACCACTGCTCATGAGCTTGGTTTGTGACCTTTTTTAAAAAAAATCTAAGACATATTAGTTTTTATTACATTCTTCATGTGTTGCACCTCAACAGGACACGTGTTCAACATGCCACACGACAACGTGAAAGCTTGTGAGGATGTGTTTGGGAAACTGCAGGAAAACCACATGATGTCTCCCACACTCATTCAGATCAATCGCACCAGCCCCTGGTCGCCCTGCAGCGCCGCCATCATCACTGAGTTCCTGGATGGAGGACACGGTGAGCCGAGTTCAAACAATCTGAAGGCAGAGGAAAAATTTGTCTCATTTAAGACCGATCTTAAAGAGGAAGCACTTGGAATCAGTCATCCATGCTTTCGTCACCTCTCGCTTGGACTAGACTAATGCATTGTTAGTTGGAACTCCTGTCTCTGCTCTGAACCAGTTGCAGGTTGTCCAAAATGCTGCTGCTAGGTTTTAACAAACACAAGACGACATAGCCATATTACACCAGTCCTGAAACGTCTTTACTGGCTCCCCATCACATTTCGTGTGTGTTTTAAGATATTGATGCTTGTTTTTAAAGCCCTACATGACCTAGCTCCTCCTTATCTGTCTGAACTGCTGACTCCCGATGTACCTACTTGTATGTTGAGGTCAGCTGACCGTCTACTGCTTTGCACTCCCCGGGTGGCCTACAAATCATGAGGTGAACGTGCGTTTGTCCATGCTGCCCCCATGCTCTGGAACTCATTGCCCATTACAGTTAGGCTGGCATCCTCTCTGCCTGTTTTAAAATCTAGTTTAAAAACCTACTTTTATGACTTGGCTTTTAGGCAGTGATTCAATGTTATCGTATTATGATTTTATAGTTTCTATTGTTGTGTTTTATCTTCTTATTGTTTTAACTTTTGTTTGAATTGATCCTGCCTGGTCAGCACTTTGGTCAGCTCTCACGCTGTGTCTTAAACTGTGCTATAAAAATAAAGTTGGTATGGTAAATCAGAATCAACATTTTTCTAGTTTCGGAGTCCAAAGATAGCTGCAAACATGAGGAAATAAGCGACAGGATGAATGAAAATTAATCCATGCTTATATTCTAATGCTCAGAGAAAAAAAATCTTAAAAAGAGATTCATGCATTTAGGATGCAGGTTGTTTGCCAACCAGACCAGACCACAGGCCTCTCAGCCTGGGAGCAATCCTAAACTTTTATTTTAAAACGTCGCCCACATCTGTCCAGATTACAGGGTTCGGTCCTGGGAGAGTCACCCCAGTGGTTTGGACATGAGGTGCATCTATCCAGGTTTACTCCAAATAGACAAACGATTTCCTGCTTTTCTGCACGTCCGTTTTGGAAGTGAAGAAACAAGCAGACAGAGACACGTGAAGGACATCTTTGGCTCCAACCCAAAACGATTTCTTCTGTTACTGAACCAGATTTCTGCTGCCAGTTATCATAAATTCAAATGTCAAGAAAAAAAAACATGTTTCTGTGTTTGAGACAATTTCCACAGAGTGATGTTTGCTTCCACAATCATTAGTCCGCTACTCATCATAACAACTCACACTGCCAAGCTGTTGTTTTTCATCACTGATCTTCTGAGTGAGAACAGGAAGCAAGAGGTGCAGGGGGACTTGTATTCTATCGGCTAATCAAGACGTTTCTTCTGCCAAGTCTAAATGGAAGGAGACCAGTTAGCCGCCAGCTGCTGCTCATTTATTCGCAGCCTTATTATCTGTTGAGAATTCATCAGATGACAAATGACATCACAAACGCCTTTCAGGCACCGCAATCCTTCTTTTGAATGTGATGGTTCTCCAGAAAGACAAGTGGCCATAAAACATTCTTCTGGAAACCCTTTTCCCTGCACTTCCCAAAAGAATAGTGTGCAACGTTTAAGAACCAAGCTCTGACCTTGTCACGCCTTGCCTGTAATTTTAGGATCTAACGTTGTCTAACAAGCCCACCCTTGCTGCAGATGGAGGAACAAGGGTGGGCTTGTGGGTTTAAGTGGGAAAACTTGAGGATGGGTTGGGGTATATTTGTGTGTGGGTTGCTTGTGCATGTTAGTGTATACATCTCTGGTGTAAACTACACACAATTAAACTATTTTCTCTTCAAAGAAACCTAAAAGCAGGGAAAAAGTTGCTCAAACTGCAGCCAACACAATCCCACTCACAAGTTTTACAAAAGCGTGAAATTATTTGCCATAACCACATTCCTGCGCCACACCAGAGACCACTTTAGTAAAACTGTCATTTCATTTGTTTCTCTCTTCCAGGGGACTGTTTGCTCGACCAGCCCCAGAAAACCTTAGCTCTTTCTGATACTTTGCCTGGATCATCTTACAGTCTCAACCGTCAGTGTGAGCTGGCCTTCGGAGAAGGCTCCAAGCCTTGTCCTTTTATGCAGCCACCATGCAGTCGGCTGTGGTGCACGGGACAGTCCAGTGGGCACTTGGTGTGTATGACTCGGCACTTCCCCTGGGCTGACGGGACGCAGTGTGGTGATGGACAGGTCTGTGACCGCGGGATCTGCTCCTCCAAATACGTTCGACGTCTGAAGGTAAACATCAGATAAAGACTCAAACTGCTAGACCAGGTTAAGACGTCTCTAATGAACGCACTTCTTAATTGATTCTCCAGGTAGATGGACGATGGGGAAAGTGGGGTTTGTTTGGTTCCTGTTCTCGTTCCTGTGGAGGAGGTGTACAGCTATCTAAAAGAGAATGTAACAACCCAGTTCCATCAAACGGGGGTAAATACTGCCAAGGTGTTCGGGTCAAATATCGTTCCTGCAACTTGAATCACTGCCCAGAGACAGGTAGGACTCACCCAGAGAAGGTTTGGACACGAGACCAACAGCTGTCCTACATCTGACTCGATGCGCCCTTCCTCCACTGTGTAGCTTTGACTTATCGTGAGGAGCAGTGTCAGACCTCTGGTAACAGCTTCACCAGCAATCGCATCACACACACCGTGGTGTGGGTACCAAAGTACTCTGGAGTCTCCCCGAACGACAGGTGCAAACTCATCTGCAGGGCCAACGGCACCGGATACTTCAACGTCCTGGCACCCAAGGTAAACTACCTTCATTTTATTTGACTTATTTTATTACCTGAACAATCTTAACGCAAACTGAATGGCTGGGTTGATGAGCTAATGGCTAGTCACAGCTTAGATCAAAGGGATTGTTTTGTTGTATTAAAACAAGTCCAATCAGCAAGATTTCACACTTGGTTCATGCAAAATCCTTTTTTACTAGCCTTTACTCTGTCTAAAATTTCTCTTTACATGATTATTTACAGGAGGTCCTTTACAGAGTAAATTATTGTTACTTAGCTTGGCTGTTAACCAGCATGGGAGTAACTTAGCAGGGACACGCGTGTGCGGTCTAAACACCCCAAGCAGACAGAAATAGCTCATTTTATGAACTGGGAACATAGTAAAATTTACTGTAGGATAAAATGACTTTATGTCAGCCAGCTGCCTGGAGTCTTAGCCTAATGGAAGGAATGAAGTTGGAGGACAGTTTATCTCCGTCAGATAGCAGAGTGTGGGGTGAGCCTGAGCAGCAGTGGGACAGAGTTCACACATCACTTCAGGCTGTTGATTACTTTAACCACAAATATAAAACACTGGAGAAAAACAGAAACTTTACAACAAATTTACAAAACATGTAAAGTACATCTTTTGCACTCAAGCATGTCTCAAAACTGTGATTTTGTATAGTTTGATGATGCAGGAATGTGTGTTTGTTGTTTATTTCTGCGTTATAGGCGTGTTTCCACTGTCAGAACTTCACAGTAAATTCTGGGAGGGGGATACTGAGCGGGAGACACGATGTCCCGGTCCTTACAGCCTCTCAAACTCAGCCTTTTCAGAACTTTGCACAGACATCTGCATATTGCAACTGCTTCTGCAGGGAGGGGTGTCACTGATCAGCGTCAAAAAGCATCCACAGTTATACCGATAGCATTAAAAGTTTTATTCTGTTGAAGTATATCATGATTTCATCCATTCGGAGGACGAGAGCAGCTGTGTGATGTAAAATGTGGCGTTCAATGACCAGAAGAAGCTCAGTTTTTTACAGCTCTCTGTGGCACGTCAGAGCCCCGTGAAATAAGTCGTCGTGGGGGGATTCCGCTGTGTTTTCCGGTGTCGGGATTTTAGTTATGGAAATTTTAAAGCAGTGCTTTTTTTTCTTTTGCTTCCGTTCTTCACAAGCAACTCTTCTAATTTTACTACTGCTGGTTGTTTTGGACAATGTCGGCTGAGTTACAATCAGTGCGAGTAACCAAAAGTTCTGCTCAGCTCCTCCACCGGGAGCTCCTACCCCTGATCCGGTACTCAGAAAGATGGCTGTTCGCCTGGCTCAGTCAAGTGGAGACACTCACATGTCGGGAAGTTCCTGTAAATGTGCCCTGGAGTTCCGACAGTGGGAACAGACCTAATGTGATTTTAAACGTCTTTTAAAATCCCCAGTGAGTCGTGGAGGATGGCTGCTTATACTGAGCCAGGATTCTCTGGAGGTTTCTTCCTGTTAAAAGGGAGTTTTCCTCTCCACTGTCGCTGCATGCTTGCTTAGTATGAGGATTGCTGTATAGTCACTGACACTAGTCAGTGACTTGATGCAATTTGCTGGGTTCCTTATATAGGAAACATTATTTCTGATTGGCTTAATGAACTGTGAATTGGAATGTTTATTATGTGAAGTGCCTTGAGACGACTCTTGTCGTGATTTGGCGCTATATAAATAAACTTGAATTGAATTGAAAAAATTGAATTTTTGGGAAAATGTATTTGCCTGACGTGTTTGTGAATCCCAGGTCGTGGATGGGACTCCATGCTCACCAGATTCCACTGGAGTTTGTGTCCAAGGAAAGTGCATCAAGGCTGGATGTGATGGCAAAATCGGCTCCACCAAAAAGTTTGATAAATGTGGAATCTGTGGAGGTGACAACAAGGGATGCAAGAAGGTGTCGGGCCTCTTCACTAAGCCTATGTAAGTAAACCCCATTATCATCATCATGTTTGTATTTATGTTTATGTATTTAGCAGACGCTTTTGTCCAAAGCGACTTACATTCATCATAGTGTTTTTCTGACCCTCTCTCTCTGGCTTCATCAGCTTTGTTTCAACTAAAATGTTTTGGCCTGCAGGCATGGCTACAACTTTGTTGTCATGTTGCCAGCTGGTGCAGCCAACATAGACATTCGCCAGCGAGGCTACAAGGGAATGCTGAGTGATGACAACTACTTGGCAGTGAAGAACAGCAATGGCCATTACCTGCTCAACGGGAATTACATTGTTTCAGCTGGAGAGAGGGACATCCACGTAAAGAACAGCTTGCTGCGCTACAGCGGGACAACCGGCCTCTCAGAGACACTTCAGGCTGCAAAGCCCCTGGGAGAAGTCCTGACCGTTGAGGTGCTCTGTGCAGGCAAACTGACCCCTCCTCGAATCCGTTACTCCTTCTACCTGCACCGTCAAACCAAGGAAGACAAAACTCTGAAGAAAGAGGAACGTGCAACTTCCCAGAACAGTGTTCTGGTAAAAGAGGGCGGCACTGAAAAAGGAGGAGACACCTTGAAGAGCTCCTACAACAAGGAGGATTCGGCTCCTGGGAAATGGATCTCCACACCTTGGGAAAAGTGCTCAGTGTCTTGCGGGCGTGGTTTCCAGAGAAGGATGGTGGAGTGTCTAAGACCAGATGGGAAGCCGGGGCTGGACTGTGATTCTTCACAAAGACCCTCGGTCATTAGAGTTTGTGAGGACACTTGTCCTGAGTGGCATATTGGGCAGTGGACGCCTTGTTCCAGAACCTGTGGGAAGGGCTTCAAGCGACGACCTCTGCACTGCAAAAACCAGATGGGGGATCTTCTCACACGGGATCTCTGCAGTGGACTTCGTAAACCACAGGAGCTGGACTTCTGTAATGTAAGGCCTTGTTAACGACCTGAAACTGTAAACTTTATGTTTTCAAAGGACACAACCGAACCCTCCTTTTTCATAAATATTGTTCTACGCCATCGCCGCTGGACTGTTTAAGGACAATGATGGACATTGCTTGAAATCTTAAAGGTGCAGTATGTAAGAATAAAGTGAGAATTGTGCAGTGAGAAAATCCCAAAGAGTTTAATGTTTCAGTCATTGCGGAAGGAAGGTTACACTGAGACATATTTCATATCCAGCTGGCTGTGGGCATTTTCAGTTTTTCTCCTTTCAAAACAAAGGAAGGAGGGACGTAACGACTGTTTACCATCAGTGAGTGTGGGGGGTGCCGTGTCTCCTGTGAGCTAATACTGCAGCGCCGGCACAAAGCTCCAGAGCTGTTTAAAGTAGTTGCAGTAACCACATTCTACCACAGGATGTCATTTTTACTTCATTTCTACATAATGCACCTTGAATGTCAGAATTTATTTCAGCATCATGTTTCGAAAGAGCAGAAAGAGCTTGACGTTAGAATAAAAACAAGCATAAACAACAATAAGTAAAGTTTCTTACATGGAAATCAGACTAATGAAATCAAATAAATGTAAGAAACAAAACAAATCAACATGAAAACAAGAAAAACAGGAATTCTCGAGAGTCTTAAACTGAAGGATGCATTTATAAACAGCTAATCTACTTCGTTCTGGAAACTATATGATGTTGTAATAAGTTCACTGTCCATGCCCCAGGATCATTGTCAGAATAGATCAGCTGACAAAATGTTACTACAATAGTTTTTGTAGCAGCTACCGTTCTCTCAGACTGACAACTGGCACCATTGTAGGAGCGTCCCTGAATATTTTTGTTAATTCATAAAAGAAATGTGAGCAAACTCTAACATTTCTGCAGATGCTCTGCAGCAACAAATGTCTATATGCAAAAGCGATCAGTTACCATCAGTAAGTCAAGATGAAAAATACCATTTTTGATGCCTTTTGACAATGGCGACCACGTTAAACATGATTTTCCTCCTGCAGCCATGACAGAAATAAAAGCAGAGCAGTTATTAATTATGTTTGAATACTTCATCTGAGTCTGTGAGCCCGATTTTGGGTTTGAATCGAAACATGACGTTTGCGTTCATTAGGACCAGGTCCACTGTCACTGTGGGTTTGGTCCAGCATTGATCTTTAAACTATAACTTTAGGACATCAATCAGTGTTTTTGTGCTCGTTTAAAAAAAAACATCACTTGGTGTATAAAAAGAAATGATTGGTGTCCTTTATCTGATGGACCAAATGTTTGAGCAATAATTCAGATCAACTTGTTTTTAAATTCTGCTTTTGAATTATGCACGGTGCTTGCGCTGGGAAACAAAAAGATTCATTTAGTCAGGTGAAATTTTAACATGCTAACCATTTTTAATGATTATTTATGACTGTAATCATTCACTCTGAGTGTTTCGTGCAGGCGGAACATGAAAATAGTCTCCTACACCTATCTGCTGCATTAACGTCTGATAGAAAAAAGACAGTGAAATTCCAGGACTAGAAAAGCCTGACAGATCTGCGTCACACTAACATTCACTCACCCATCTTGACTCACGATGGGGAAGGCTGTTGGTTTAGCATCCAGGAAACAGCAGAGATAGTCTCCGCTAGTAGAAGCTAACCGTTAGCATTAGCAACTGCACCACACAGCAGAACTTCCCAAAGTTTGAGTTATTTGTGGAAATAAAACATCAACGTTTCAGAGCAAACAGTGGTAAAGATGCTTTGCTGTTATCCAATCAGAAGCGAGATGTTTAAATATCAGGAAATAAAACTCTAAATCCTGTGGTGTTCAGCTCACTTCTAGTTCCTGAAACAAGTGCACCGGAGCCTAATTATCTAGTAGCTTTCATTCCTACTAGAGACCACTGCAAATGTAAAAGAAATATGAGTGAAGTAACTTAATGAAAAGGTTCAATCAGCTCTCATCAAGGTTGTTCTGCAGATTTTTAAAACATGATTAACATCACACCCTATCATGCACGCTGTGTTTACTTTTAAAATCTTGCATCAACATGTGATGAAAACTTCACTGCAGCCACCACCTTGGTCTTAATCGTTCATCTTCACGCTTTGTATTCTTCAGCCAGTTCTGAAGCCTCTTACGTCGAGCCTTTCTGGAACAGTTACTACAGATAATTTATTATCAGTGAATCACTAGAGCCCAGAGGAAACATGCCATTCCAGAATATCTTTATTCCTGCTGTCTCAAACTGAGCTGTTCTTTCCATAGTCTTGATGTAATGCTGGTATCCATTATCTGCTTGTTTCTGAGAGGCCACATTAAACAGTTCAGCCCAGATGGATCAGTCATTAGTTCAAATAGTATAAGTTTTATTTTTTTAAATCAGATTTTGCAATTTGTACAGCAAAAGAAAACAATGACTCATGAGTTGTACTGTATACTATGTATACATTTATTCAGCTCTGTGCAAAAACAAAGTTATTACTTTTTTACACAAAAAATTGTATTTGTCTTTGACTTCTGTATATTTATTCCAAAATAAAGCAATTCCCTAAACAAATACAGTTATATGCCTCTTTTCTCTAATGTCCTTGTCATATAAACACTGTGGTGTGTTAATACTTGCAAAGTGTCATCTCTCCAAGGTAATTATGCCAATTGTTGGCAAGCTCTTCCCCTTCTGACAATCTAGATGTGCCCATTTACCAAAACACAGGTGGGGGATCCTGGTCCCACCTGCTTTAACCAGAGGTGTCGACCAAGTCACTGCTTTGCAATTCACAAGTAAGTCACAAGTCTTTCCAGTCAAGTCTCGAGTCAAGTCCAAGTCAAAGTCAACCAAGTACAAGTCGAGTCCAAAGTCAATGATGTGGAAGTCCAAGTCAAGTCCAAGTCCTTAACTTTGAATTTTCAAGTCATAATCAAGTCATCTGCCCAACTTCAATTTAATGATGATAATAAATTCCAGGAATAAATCTTCTTAAAGCTTCATTTATTTGCTCAAACAAGAAGAAAGTGCAACAGAAACTGATTATAAACAAAGTGCTGCTGCATTTAGCAGAGCAAGATTACACCCTGAACAAAGAATGATTGATGATTTTTGTCCATGTCGTGCTACTTTTGTGCTAAAAAATCAAATATGCTCAAGTCATCATTAAGTCAACAGATGCAAGTCGATTCAAGTCGCAAGTCGTTGGCGTTCAAGTCTGAGTCAAGTCTTAAGTCTTTATAGATTTTATCAAGTCAAGTCAGAAGTCATTAAAAATAATGACTCGAGTCTGACTCGAGCCCAAGTCATGTGTCTCGAGTCCACACCTCTGGCTTTAACCCTCTCAGGCTCAAAATAAATTGTGATAAAAGGACGAACAACTAAGTCCCTCAGGGTTACTCCTGAGTTAAAAAATGCTCATGAAACACGTGTGTGGAGTAACCAGGTAGGTAGGTTTGAACGTTGCAATTCTGCAACGCCTGCCTCCAGAGGGTTAACACACCTGATTATAATCAACAAGGGCCTCATTTATACAAATTTTCAAAGAATCATTACTTCAACTACGCAAAAAGAAAAAAATTATATATTTACACAAATTAATTGTTCAACATATAAAACACTGATTATGCATAGTTATGTGTAAATCCTGCTTTATTAATTACACCCATCCTAGAAATGTGCTCTTGTGATTTTGGGTCCCAACTCCTGACCGCTTTCTACCATAAAAAAATGCAAAACACTTTATGAATACTCTGCAAATAAATGACCCGGCACATCGGTGGCATTTCATGGGTGACTGTGGAAACTGAGACTCTTGGGAACGAAACAGAGACACAGAAAAATTGTTTTGTTGCCTTCCAGTGGCACAGTGGTATTGTAGCGGTGGGCAGTGGATACGCACAGCGATAGAAGTGGGCATAAATTGATTAAATAAATAAATAAATGTCAGAGGAAGGATGGAGGCAAAGAGGAAGATGGCAATCATCATTTTATTGACAGCATCCAAAAAGGCTGCATTGAGGTGCTCTGGGATTGCTGAGATATTCTAGCAATCCAGACAGACAGCAGCTGAAGGGAAATGATTTTGCTCTGCCTCTCGGTATAGCCACACTCCACTGGAACCTCAGCAAGCCTGGCCAGTCTGCTGGCCAATCACTGCACTCGTATCAGTCTGGTGGGCAGGATGTTACTGCGACTGAGCAAAACAAAGATGGCGATGGCTCATTTGAATCACTTTGAAAACACCTTTGGACTATTCAGACTCGGGCTTTTCTTTGAGTCAAGAGCAGTACTTGAGTTTATTTAGAAAAAGGAAGTATTTGCATCTTTTTCTAAGATGTATGGTGAACCGTCCGACTGACTTCCGTAGCAGTGAGCACATCATGTTGTTGATTCTCCAATGGCATGCAGAGACAGTTTGAAAGACACCGGTAGATTCTGCCCCACAATTGAGATCTATCAATGGGTGGTGGGCAGACTATTTTCACATTTATAGGTGTTACGTCCTCTACAGGGGGTGTTAAAATGTGAAGGAGGCAACATAAGAAATGCAACAGTGGAGTTAAAATGGGTTTAATTGTTATAAAAAGTTAAAAAAATCAAGTGCAAACAGATGGCAAGCATTATTAAGATAATGCAAAACAAAAACAAAAAAAAAACTCCAAAAACAAAACCTCCAAAAGGTTAACATTAAAAGAGCAGTTACCAACATTAAAAACCCCTGGTTAAAAATTATTAAAAATTTCACCAAAACAGAAGGTGTTTCAAAATCCACAAAGTTGATAAAAGTTCTAAAACAATCTATTGACATAAAACACCTGGTTAAAACTTATGTTAAAAGTTTTACCGGAACAGAAGGCGTTTTAAAACCAAAGTCAATAAAATTGTATCACAGAAACTCTTCAACTCGAAGGGGTTGAAAACAAAATGAGGCGTGGAGGACAGCAGAACCCCTGCACTGCTGCCTCCCAGACTGCTGAAGGCACAGCTTTTTTATCCCAGGTGTGGCTCATCAGGAGGATTCCGCTCAGCTGTGCTCCTCAGCAGCCTGGAAGAGAGGAGGAGGGGCGATGTCGGGCTGATCTCCAGGGCTGGGTGATCCTGGCTTCTGCATCCCAATGAGCAGGCTGGTAGCCGTAAAATAGGATATCTGGCCAGGCTAAAGATATTCAAGTGAAGTTTTAGTTTATAGTTTAACAACAGAGGCACTGTGACACGTCAGACAATATGAAGATGTACATGTGAACGTAGTGTGATATCTAAAAAACAGTTTTAAATAGAGTTCCTCCTTCTTATTCTCAGTCCAGAGACCAGGTGTGTGTGTGTGTGTGTGTGTGTGTGTGTGTTCGGGAGGGTATACAAGTCTGAAAATGTGGTTTATATTCACCATTTTTCAATCTCACCAGCTTTTGGGAACAAACCAACTTACTGCCTGAGGAATGTGACCTTTAGCCAACCACAATGCGAGGTGATGGATGCATACAGCATGCTCCTCTTCCCCCATGTTTGTTTGCTTCAAAGTCACTTTGATTTTGTGAGATTTCCCGTCTGACCAAGAGAATGTTTGCGTGTAAAATTGGTTTGAGTGTAGTTTTAGTTGCTGCATACCGCACACTGTAGGACAAAACCTAATATATCCATGATTTTTATCACCTGGTGTGGGGTCTCCCATGCTTTGATAATCAGCCAACAGATTAAATATCCTGCTGTATAAACCATACTTAAACAGATAGACCTCCAGAGGACCTAATATTCTTCTTTCTTGATGGTGTAATGTTAGACAAATAGTATGTTTGGTTAAGTAAATTGCTTTAAAAGCTATTTATATTATTAACACTACTTGTGACCAATAAGCGGTGATACTCTATTTAACTAGAATATCACCTGCTTGGTCTTATTGTTTTAGTCAGAAGATTCTAGGATTCTTTTATTCATTAATGGGTTGTACACACTTTGTTGGATTCAAGAAACAGTCAGGTTTATAAAATTTAAGAATTTATTTCACAAACAATTAAGACTTGACAAATTGGTTAAACTATTATACTGTTAGTGGATGGAACTAAGGATGGTGTCTGGAACTTTTGTGTGAATATAACGTATTCAGAGTCTCCGTATCTCAGAAATCGGAGTTCTGGATGGAAAGAATTTGGTTTGCAAATAAGCTAGAAAGATGTTATTATCAGAACCACATACAGACGCTATCGCGCTGTGCTCTACCTCACCCGTTTGGATCCGAGATGTCCAGGAGCCGACGACCCCACTGCACCTGGTTCGTGGAGAAACCTCGATGTGACCAAAGTCACGTCAGTCCTCAGATGTCTCCGGGTCACAACAATAGATGAAACCAAGCGTCTTAAAAATAACTCTGAAGGAGTTTTGAGTCAGCTTTGTTCTGCAGGAAAATATCTTGTTGTTTCAGCTTCGCAGGTGCGAAAAAGGTTTAAGGTTTTGACAACGTGTCAAAATCCTTCTGGTTAAAGAGGCTTTCGCTCAGATGGCCGTTCTGAAGCTTTTCTCTAGAACCCTCGAACTGTTGAACTGTTTTGAACTGAGGGAAAAACCAGAGTAAACTAATTTTAATGGATTGATGTTATCGTGACTAGCCAACCAAAAGTTGGCACGTTGAGGATATTACCATGCATCTCAGAGACACACCCTCTGTGATGGAGACTCCGAATCTAGGCAAAAGGTTAACTTATGTGTCATGCCTTAACTTAACTTACTCTGTCCTTGTGTGAGTGTGCAAATGGTGAAGCCCTCATCCAGTAAACATGCTAAACATATATCATTAAACAGATCAATGGACATTTCATTTTATATAATTATAAATAGCAATATTTAATGATTACCTTAATTATAAAATCTTCTTTCTTCCTTTTCTTGGAATAAAGGAGTTTATTTAAAAGAGTTCCTCTGTGATGGACCTTGGAGGAGAATGTTATTGTTTATGTTTTATTATCTCTCAGAGCTGCAGTCCAGCTGATGTAAGGAAGCAGGCTCTGATTAAAGGGACTACGTGCAGACTCTCAGACTCCTGTGAGGGGAAAAGATTGTAGGTTGTCATAGCCAGGGATAAGTTGACCTGGCTGTGAATTTGACCTGTGGGATCTCAAAATCAGGCCATTTCGTGACGTTACAGTGGTCATTTCTTTGGAACCCTTGGGCATGATTCATCATGCACATTGCTGAACCCCAGTACACACACGAATACCCTGGAAATGTCATCTTGGCCTATTTCTGGCACCACCATCCAGTGTGAAGGAGTTGGCATCAGTGGTCAAGTGCATATCTTTTCAGAATGAATCAAATCAGCTGCTTCGTGTGATTCTGAGGTTTCTAAGGTGATAAATGTGCCCTGGAGGGTTATGTCACCGCAAGGAGAAGCTCAAAAGCATTCTATTGTCCTAACCAACTGGACATGATTCTGTGAGCTCTGGCTACAATAGAGAGCATGAACTAAGTAGACAAAACAAGAACGAAAGGTTGGAAAACAGAAGCTCTCCAAAATGACCTGACGGGTAGCTGAGAGAAACATTTATCTTTTATTGAATTTAACATTAAATGAGACTGCA